TTCTACCAATACTTTTAGCATACCACGACCGGCCATTTAGCGGTGTCACATTTTACAAATATAAGAAGCGCTCGATTTAAATTGGGAGACATATGATATTTTTTTTTAAGACCAGTATAAGATGTTCCAAGTAAATAAGTCTTATAACGTAAGTTAATAGTTCTTATATTAATTATCTTTAAAATAAGGATTGTATGTCAAAAAAGGCGGCAGGAGACAAGGGACCGTGGTTACGTTTTTTGAGTTACTATATAAGATCACGATATTTATAGAAGCTATTTGTAACTGAATATTAAAAGTTAATATTAAAGACATTTCATTAAGTAAATTTCGCAAAAACTTCATATTTAAGTTTTTTGTGGAGCTAGAGACATGTTTTCTCCCATTACTGAATTTTGTCCCTTAACCTAGGCGAGAGCTCTCGGTATAGGCTGCCGCTTTTTTGCTCTCATTTGATTACACCTTTAAATAAAAAAAACAGGAAACCAAAAACAGGAAGGAGAAAATAGCTGACCGCACAGTTATAACATTTAATTCTTTGCAAGGTTTAATTATTAAACAACAAAAACTCAGAGAACAAACCATAAGCGCTATTAAACAAACCAAGAACGTTCAAACAGGTAAATAAACAAACAAAAACTGTCATCTGTCAGAAATAATGACTTATAATTGGACTCCTAAAATGGCGACTTCCGTCGTAAATTTTTTACATTAACGAGATTCGGCAGGGTCCTTCCTGAGGTTATTTATTTAAAGGATTACACTATAACCTAGAAATTTTTTATTTTTAAATTTGCACGCCCCCTTTTTCTTTGAGGTTCTGTAGTCAAAGTCTATGCCCAACTAATTTCGCTTTGCTATAGCAAATCTCTAGTATCAATTATTTTTCGTGTTTATTTTTTACGTAAAATAAAAAGTACTCTTACCTAAATAATTCTAATGAAAAATTAATGCATCATTCTTTTCTTACCGATTTATTGTAGAAAATACGTTTTTTACTGTACGCTTTTTATATATTTCTTTAAATTAAATTATACATATTCATTTAGAAAAAAAACCAGGATGTGTTTAATTTAATTTTATTTTATTTTAATCAGTACCAATAGCTACATTATCCAGGATCTGCTTTTTCAGTATTTGATTGAAAAAAACCACAGTCAAACGATCATAAACCTAAAAGAAATAAATATATATGACGTGGATAGCTGACACGATAAAAGATACGCTCCTGCTCTTCCTCTTAGTGATTTGAAAAAGTTCTATACCTATACAAATTTAAATGTTTACGATCGAAAAAAACATTTTTTTTTGCAATATCGTGTTATTAATTTTATAATTTAACATTTAAAAAGCTTTGCAACACTGCCAGTGAAATAGTATTGATTAAATCTTTAAAACGAGCATGCTCCACTTAAAAAATTAAATAGCTCCCCTCTTCCTGGAAATTCTACTTATCATCCGTCAATGGACATCCTCTTCTTATCAAACTATACCTTTTAATTTAATAAGGGGCAAATACGATTCAATTAATCCTACATAGGTACCAGTAATTAATAGTATTTATTCCCAGACAATACAAAAATTGTTTTTGAAAAACATAACCAAAATGTACAAACAGTATTTAAAATAAATAAAAGTAACTAGATTAAAATGATGTAGAGGTGCTAATGTCAATAATACAAAAGTACAAACCAGGACCAAATCTGCACTAGCAAAAACCAAAACCTGTCCTGGGTAAACCTGAACGCACACCTTAGCTGTAATCTGCACCTGATGGTATGGGTCACTAAATCTGATCTTGGTGAGATATTCTGATATTTTTGAAGATATTTCAAAAGTGATTGGATTCATCGAAAAAATGTAAAGGACAAACTTGTAGAAAATTTGAATCGCTAAGATTGATATTTGTTGAGATATAAAGCGTTTACATTGACATTTTATGAAATTTTTCAGGATTTTCGTACCAAACTTTTTATAAATGATGATTTTCAATTGTTTCTTGTAAAATAGCATAAAGAACTCATGTCATAAGTCAAAATGATGTCTTATGACATTAGTTCTTTAATATACTATTATCATATAAAAAAGTAATTAAAAAACGTGTAATTGAATACCAAAAAATACATTTTTAAAACCATAATTTATTGCCTTGACACAAAATGTTGACTTACAAACATTACATTTATACTTGTTTTCTAATTCGATTTATACAAAATTTGCATTCAAATAACAAATACAGATATAGTTCTAATAAGCGGAAACTCACACCATTTTTGTCCGCTTATGAGAGGTACATATATAAGAAAGTTAAACAAATACAATGGAAAAAATGACTGATTGAGAGTAAGGAGAATTTCGGTAGGCGTGGGCTCGAGCTATTAGGACCGCGCTGTCCACCTGCTAAGGGTCGATCACGCGTCCAAGCTGGTTTTGTTTTTATATCTATTATTGAAGACGGCTGAAAAATGACATAGGCAAGTTTTATAATCCTAGGCCGTGAAATTTAATTTCCTATTAGCAAATACAGTTCTGTTCTGCTAGGAGGGAAAATATTTTACATGCAAACTTTATATAATTTTATGCAAATTGTAGACCACATTCTGCATACATTATAGTTCACAACTTCTGGTCTGAGGTCCATAAGTAATTGTCAAGTGCTATAAAAAGACCCACGCAGAACATGCACAACATAAGAGGAATCCTTATTTTATTGGGTATAGTAGCTGACATACAGTTATTAAAGTAAAACGATTTAATAATATAACCTAGAAGACCAACTTACGGGAAAAAATTACATCAGAGATTTAAGGTTAGGGATTTTTTGGGGGTTAACTTTTTTTTTAAGGGACAACATTATTTTAATTTTTCAGTATCTTAAATTTAGCATTTTTTTAAATTTTTACCTTTTATATATTTAATATTTTTATTAAAACAAATAATTTGTTGGGTTTCTGCTTTTTGTATGATTTTTTTTTATTTTTATAAACTTGGAGAATCTATATTTTAAAGACAAAAAACAAATGTACCGTAATTTTTACAAAATGTCAGTTTGGGGGTTTTGTTTTAATTTTAGAGACTTTGGACATGGCTCTTCAGGTAAAGAAATGCATTTAAGACATAAAAATTTATAAATATAAAAATCTCACAAAGAATATAAGTTTGAACCCTTTAAATAAAAAAGTACATATGCTATTTTCTCATATAAAGTAGTCCTTAAACAACATTATATTATTATACATTATTTAACAAAAAAATTATAGGATGCCAAATAAATATTACTTTGATTATTTTAAATTATAATAAAAAACAGCAATGCTTATATTTATTATACAGTAAACGGCAAAAGCATGGAACAAATTCATTCAGAAATGTGCCTTTTTCCCCAATAAAATCCTTGAACTTTGCTTTTTAATTCCTCACAATTTGATATAAAATTTTCATAGTTGCCGCCATTTTTGTAGAAGCTATAACGTCATCAGCCGTTTTTTTTAATCGATTCGAATAGATTATAAAATTCTGAATTTAGCAATATGTACATTAGGGTGTTTCAAAATAAGGCAATATTCTTGTCACTTATGCTAAAAAAAAATTTTGTTAAAATTTGAGCTCTTAATATTAATTTTATAAGGTCCATCATCGAATTTAAAGTTTTCCCATTGATTTAACATGGAAAAATAGTTTTTAAGATTTATTTCGCCTGCATGCTATGTAGAACTTTTTTTTTGATAAACAATCAGGTACTTTTTTAGCATTAAATTATCTACAAAAAATTCTCTGAGAAGGTTTTCGATGACTTCCGCACTAATAAAGCGACATTCATCACTAATTTGATTTTTCAAGTCTTCTAAATTTTGTGGTCTGTTGATGTAGACCTTTGATTTAAGGTATTCCCATAAAAAAATAGTCGAGAGGGGTGAGATCTGTAGATCTCGCTGGCCACTCTATCGGTCCTCGTCTGGCAATCCACCTCTCAGGAAAACATGTGTCCAAAAAAGTACGTCCATTCTAATTGGGAAAAATTTCTGCTAATGTGAGAAGAGAGTTTTGCAAAAATTCCAAATACATTTGTCCTATCATATTCTAGTCACCTATGATCCGATTTTCCACCATTCCTGTACAGACATTCACTTTTTGCCGGTATTGTGAATTTGCCTTTACTACCCAATGAGGATTTTCTCTGCTTTCACGGTTGACTGTATCATTCAAACAGAAGCTAGTTTCGTCCGAAAAAAGTATTTTATTAGGAAAATGTAAATAATTGTTAAATACATTCATCATAGTTTCACAAAATTGTAGTCTACGGTCCTGATCATGTTCGTTAAGTTTCTGCACTAGTTTAATTTTGTATGGATGCTACTTTTCTTTCTTCATAAGACGTAATACTGAGCGTTGGCTGACTTGACTTTCAGCTGCGACTAGGCTAGAAGCACTGTGAGGATCTCCCACTCGTAACAAAATGGCTATTTTAGTGTCTGCACTAATACTCGTACGGCCAGGTTTTGGAATATCTTTGACATGTACAGTCTCTTTACTAACCGTAGCACGAGTAATAGGTCGAACTCGATACATTAATTTATATTATTATTTATTAAACAACCTAAATTCTATTCATATGGGCTTTCTCCTTATCTATAATTAAATTTTAGAAATATATCTAAGAAATAAATAACTTTTCTATTAATTTTATAAATAAATTTAAATATAAAATCTAATAATTATATTTAATTGGATGCCTAGATGCAATTTCAATGGAAAGTGAATGAAATATCTTAATATATATTATATTGTACTATATAATTATTTATTGTAATACATAAATTTATTATAAATAAACACAATTATAAGAAAAATCCTGTTTTTTATTCACCCACCCTATATGCCCAACCTTCATACACACACTTGACCATGGAGACAAATTGCAACCGTTACGTTATCATTAAAAAAATATATCAACCCTTGGGTCTTTTTTTCTCTACGAGGCATCTCTCTTCAATTTCCAGGTGAATTCACCATCTCACGATGAGTGTCATCATTCGGCTGCAGAATTTGCCGTGGTCGGCGAACGCTTTGGACATCCGCCAATTTTTCTCCGGTCTCAGCATTCCCGAGGGAGGAGTTCACATCGTTGGAGGAGAATTGGGGGACGCTTTCATCGCTTTCAGGTACCTAAATGAGCAAAAAAAAAATCTTTCGCACGTTTTTCTCGCCTTTTGCACACAACTTGACGTGTTTTCTCTTGCAGCACCGATGAGGACGCGAGGCAGGCTTTCAACCGCACCGGCGGTAAAATCAAAGAGATTCAGGTCAAACTGTTGCTTAGCTCGCGGACGGAGATGCAAAAAGTCATCGAAGCGGCCAGATCTAACACGTACGCAGCCTTTCAGCTGCCCGGTACACCTCTACCCGCAGCTGTTCCGCCTGTAATGCCTGCAGCCATTCCGGAAATCAAAAGAGAGGATAAAAGGCGGTCGAGAGATAATAAGAGGCGGTCGAGGTCCAAGTCTAAGGAGAGGTCTAAAGAGAGATCTAGGGATAGACGACGTAATAGGGATAGGTCTAGGACTAGGTCTAGGGATAGGAGGGATCGTCGCCGTAGAGAGAGGAGCCGCACTAGGTCTAGGGATCGCGATCGTAGCGATAGAAGGAGTAGGGACAGCAAAAAGGACGAGAGGAAGAAACCTGAGGTGCAGCAAGTATGGGCGAATCCTCCCGAAGTCGCCATGCAAAACTTGCAAGCCAGTTTGCCCGTATTTGCGACTAGAAGCGTCGATTTAGCTGCAGCTGCCTCTCTCCTTTCGGCTACTAACGGTTTTCCCAGCAGCGCGTTCAGCAACCCCATAGCACCCAGGCAAGAACCGTGGGGTCAAAGCAACTTCATGAACCAGCCGAGTTTTATGAACCGCGATTTCCTCGCCAACCCCAACGGCAACAACCAGCAGCAGCAGAGACTGAACCCCATGCTAAATTTGGGCGGCAACGGTACGCAAAACCGCAGCAATAACAAACCCCACAACTATCAGAACAGTCAGGACGGCTACGACGAGCAAGCGGACGACTACGCGGTGGACTGTTGCGTGGAAGTGCAACCGTTCTTCGGGGGTTACGGGGAGATCCGCAGGTTCTTCCAGGGGCTCTTCATCAGCAACAGGGGCATCAAGTTCATAAACGACGGCCAGGGTCACAGGACCGGCGTGGCCTACATCCAGTTCGGCCACGCGCAAGGCAAAGACGACGCGATGAAGCGCGACGGCGAACTCCTCAACGGCTGCAAAGTGCGGGTGAGTCACCTGAACGACGATGAGTTCGACCGCGCCGTCGACAGATTCACGCCGGCCGACAGTTACAGCAACCAACGCGTGGAAGACGACAACAGCCCCAATTTCAGGTCGAAAAATATCACCAAGTACTTCAACAACAAGAACAGTCGCGTCCATAATAACGAGCCCGAGTTGAAGGAGTTTCAATGCGTCACAGTCGACGATCTTCCGACTTACGTCAAAGAGCAGGATATCCTCCACATGTTCTCTTTGCATCCGTTGTTCTCTTTGATACTGACAACGAAACCGCGAGGTGGCAACATCGCTTACGTTAAGTTCAGTACGAAGGAGGTCGCTCAGAAAGCCTATGAGGAAAGACAGCATCATTTTGTCAGCGGTAAGCAAGTCAGCGTGAGGCCTTGCACCGAAGAGGATTTCGAGTTCATCAACAAACAGCACGATGTAGATATTAGCGGAAGTAAACCCACGGAAAAAATTGATTGTATCGTGTTAACCAGACTCCCTCCCAACTCCAACGATAGAGATATAGCGGATTTCTTCTCGGATATCGGAGTAATACCTTCGAAAGTCCATTTGGTTAACGGACCAATGGGTTTCACCGGTCAAGCTTTCTGCGAGTTTGATTCCCAAGATCACACAAATAAAGCCCTGAAAAAAGACGATACCGTCTTCGGTAACGTACAAATCTCCGTTAAACCGTCCACAAGAAAAGAAATGCTCGCCGCTCTCGGTCAAAACATCGACCAAAAACCATCCCCAACCCTCCCACCACCGCCAATAGTAAACCAAAACAGACCCATGGTAAACATCGACAACAAACCTCCGAGAATGAACATGAATCCTAGGATGCAATTCCCCAATCAGCGTCCCTTCTTCAACCGCAACAACTTCGGCGGCGGTCCGAATTTCGTTCCGCGGGGCGGCCCTCGGTTCGGCCCCAGAGGCGGCGGACCCAGATTCAGATTCAACGGTCCGCCAATGAACCACGGGAACATGGAAACGCCCATGGCCGATATGGATAACGCGGAAGACGCCCCACCAGGCTGCACTGTATACATGGATAACGTACCCTACAAAGCCAGCACCAACGAAATATTAAACTTCTTTGAGGGTTACAATGTTACCAATAATGTAAGTAGGAGATACAACCCCAATAACACTCCAAGTCCAGAAGCAAAAGTTGTTTTCCACACTCCAGAGGAAGCAAACAGAGCAATCCTGGAAAGAAATGGAGGGCAAATATGGGACAGGCAAATATACCTTACCCAAGCATAATAAGTTTTATTCGTCGTGACTACTATAAAAGTGAATGTGTATAAAGTACAAATGTTGAATTAAAGTGTTAGGAGTAGTTTTATATAAATTGTGTATATAAAGTTTATTCTACTATATTAGTAGCATGCCTGTAACATACTGTATATGAGTTATACAATATAAGCAAAGAACTGAGAACAACGCGTTTTATTTTTTTTAATACAATGAACAAACTTAATATCACAGTCAATAAAATAATCAGTCTACAATCAATGTTTATCCTTCTTGTGCTTTTTCTTATGCTTCTCCTTGTCTTTCTTATGTTTCCTCTCCTTTTTATGCTTACTCTTCTTTTTCTTCTCCTTGCAACCCTTCTCAATCCATTGATCTTCATCACCAGAAGACTCCACAACAACACTTTTCTCGACATGTTCTAATTTTGCAGGAATTTTAGGCCCATACAAATCATCATCACCTTCTTTAGCCGGGTTATCTTCAACTTTCTCCCTTGGTTTGCTAAAAATGAACTTCGGAACATTGGAGAGGATCCCTTCTTTCAGCGGCTTAATCTTCGGCAAAAATTCCTCCGACAGAACGTTGGCCTTCATTTCTTCCTCCTTTTTCTTTCCTTCTTCCTTCGAGTCCTCTTCATCACTCTCCGACTCGCTGCTGCTCAAAAATACCGCTTTAAATAGGTCGATGTTTTTGTCCACATCCAGTTTGTCGGTTATATCTTTTGGAGGGTCTTCAATTGGAGGTGCATCTTCCTCTTTAACGGCTTCTTCGTCGTTTTGTTTTTGGTTTGTGTCTGCTTCTTCAATTTCAGGTGTTTCAGGATCTTGCTTCATCATTGAAACTCTCGGTTTTAAATCTGCGTTATTTTCCGCGTGTTTTTGGTATTCGAATATGAGGTTTTTTGTACGTTTTCTGTCTCTTTGCAGTTCAGAATTGCTAAAATAAAAAAAAACATTAAATTAACTAATTTTTACAACAATTGTAATGACATGCTTACTCCAAAAGTGGCTCAGGAACATTGAATCTCTTACACAGTAAAGGGCAAGGATAAAAATCGCTTGTTATCCTGGTCAAAGGACCGAACATTTTCATGCGTGCGGCACCCCGCATTTCTTCCGTACCATGCGTTGTTTCGGATCTTTCAACAGGCGCCAAAATATCGGAGGCGTTCTCCGGTTTACTCGCCGATACAAACCTATCAAACATCAAGGATTTGGCTAGATCTGGTTTTGATTTAGGCTCCTCCTTTTTCGGTTCCGGTTTTTTGGGTTTTATAACTTGTTGCGTCGGTAGAATTGGTTGTGATTATATGACTGATTGGTTTTCAGGTTTGCCTAAATATTTAGCTCTAACTGAAGGTGTTTTATCTTTTCTTGAAGTGCTTGGTGTTTCTTTAATGATGGATAACTTACCCTACAAAGCCAGCACCAACGAAATATTAAACTTCTTTGAGGGTTACAATGTTACCAATAATATTATATGTAAGTAGGAGATACAACCACAATAACACTCCAAGTGCAGAGGCAAGAGTGGTTTTCCACACTACAGAGGAAGCAAACAGCAATCCTGGAAAGAAATGGAGGGCAAATATGGGATAGGCAAATATACCTTACCCAAGAATTATAAGTTTTATTTGTCGTGACTACTATAAAAGTGAATGTGTAAAAAGTACATATGTTGAATTAAAGTGTTGGGAATAGTTTTATATAAATTGTGCATATAGAGTTGATTCTACTGTATTAGTAGCATGCCTGTAACATACTGTATATGAGTTATACAATATAAGCAAAGAACTGAGAACAACACTTTTTATTTTTTTAAATACAATGGACAAACTTAATATCACAGTCAATAAAATAATCAGTCTACAATCAATGTTTATCCTTCTTGTGCTTTTTCTTATGCTTCTCCTTGTCTTTCTTATGTTTCCTCTCCTTTTTATGCTTACTCTTCTTTTTCTTCTCCTTGCAACCCTTCTCAATCCATTGATCTTCATCACCAGAAGACTCCACAACAACACTTTTCTCGACATGTTCTAATTTTGCAGGAATTTTAGGCCCATACAAATCATCATCACCTTCTTTAGCCGGTTTCTCCTCAACTTTCTCCCTTGGTTTGCTAAAAATGAACTTCGGAACATTTTAGAGGATCCCTTCTTTCAGCGGCTTAATCTTCGGCAAAAATTCCTCCGACAGAACGTTGGCCTTCATTTCTTCCTCCTTTTTCTTTCCTTCTTCCTTCGAGTCCTCTTCATCACTCTCCGACTCGCTGCTGCTCAAAAATACCGCTTTAAATAGGTCGATGTTTTTGTCCACATCCAGTTTGTCGGTTATATCTTTTGGAGGGTCTTCAATTGGAGGTGCATCTTCCTCTTTAACGGCTTCTTCGTCGTTTTGTTTTTGGTTTGTGTCTGATTCTTCAATTTCAGGTGTTTCAGGATCTTGCTTCATCATTGAAACTCCCGGTTTTAAATCGGCGTTGTTTTCCGCGTGTTTTTGGTACTCGAAGATGAGGTTTTTTGTACGTTTTCTGTCTCTTTGCAGTTCAGATTTGCTAAAATAAAAAAAAGATTAAATTTACTATTTCCACAACAATTGTAATGACATGCTTACTCTAAAAGTGGCTCAGGAACATTGAATCTTTTACACAGTAAAGGGCAAGGATAAAAATCGCTTGTTATCCTGGTCAAAGGACCGAACATTTTCATGCGTGCGGCACCCCGCATTTCTTCCGTACCATGCGTTGTTTCGGATCTTTCCACAGGCGCCAAAATATCGGAGGCGTTCTCCGGTTTACTCGCCGATACGAACCTATCAAACATCAAGGATGTGGCTAGATCTGGTTTTGATTTTGGCTCCTCCTTTTTCGGTTCCGGTTTTTTGGGTTTTATAACTTGTTGCGTCGGTAGGATTGGTTGTGATTCTGTGACCGATTCGTTTTCAGGTTCACCTAAATATTTAGCTCTAACTAAAGGTGTTATATATTTTCTTGAAGAGCTTGGTGTTTCTTCAATGATGGATAACTTACCCTACAAAGCCAGCACCAACGAAATATTAAACTTCTTTGAGGGTTACAATGTTACCAATAATATTATATGTAAGTAGGAGATACAACCACAATAACACTCCAAGTGCAGAGGCAAGAGTGGTTTTCCACACTCCAGAGGAAGCAAACAGCAATCATGGGAAGAAATGGAGGGCAAATATGGGATAGGCAAATATACCTTACCCAAGAATTATAAGTTTTATTTGTCGTGACTACTATAAAAGTAAATGTGTAAAAAGTACAAATGTTGAATTAAAGTGTTGGGAATAGTTTTATATAAATTGTGCATATAGAGTTGATTCTACTGTATTAGCAGCATGCCTGTAACATACTGTATATGAGTTATACAATATAAGCAAAGAACTGAGAACACGTTTTATTTTTTTAATTACAATGGACAAACTTAATATCACAGTCAATAAAATAATCAGTCTACAATCAATGTTTATCCTTTTTGTGCTTTTTCTTATGCTTCTCCTTGTCTTTCTTATGTTTCCTCTCCTTTTTATGCTTACTCTTCTTTTTCTTCTCCTTGCAATCCTTCTCAATCCATTGATCTTCATCACCAGAAGATTCCACAACAACACTTTTCTCGACATGTTCTAATTTTGCAGGAATTTTAGGCCCATACAAATCATCATCACCTTCTTTAGCCGGTTTCTCTTCAACTTTCTCCCTTGGTTTGCTAAAAATGAACTTCGGAACATTGGAGAGGATCCCTTCTTTCAGCGGCTTAATCTTCGGCAAAAATTCCTCCGACAGAACGTTGGCCTTCATTTCTTCCTCCTTTTTCTTTCCTTCTTCCTTCGAGTCCTCTTCATCACTCTCCGACTCGCTGCTGCTCAAAAATACCGCTTTAAATAGGTCGATGTTTTTGTCCACATCCAGTTTGTCGGTTATATCTTTTGGAGGGTCTTCAATTGGAGGTGCATCTTCCTCTTTAACGGCTTCTTCGTCGTTTTGTTTTTGGTTTGTGTCTGCTTCTTCAATTTCAGGTGTTTCAGGATCTTGCTTCATCATTGAAACTCCCGGTTTTAAATCGGCGTTGCTTTCCGCGTGTTTTTGGTACTCGAAGATGAGGTTTTTTGTACGTTTTCTGTCTCTTTGCAGTTCAGACTTGCTAAAATAAAAAAAAACATTAAATTAACTATTTTCACAACAATTGTAATGACGTGCTTACTCTAAAAGTGGCTCAGGAACATTAAATCTTTTACAGAGTAAAGGGCAAGGATAAAAATCGCTTGTTATCCTGGTCAAAGGACCGAACATTTTCATGCGTGCGGCACCCCGCATTTCTTCCGTACCGTGCGTTGTTTCGGATCTTTCCACAGGCGCTAAAATATCGGAGGCGTTCTCCGGTTTACTCGCCGATACGAACCTATCAAACATCAAGGATGTGGCTAGATCGGGTTTTGATTTAGGCTCCTCCTTTTTCGGTTCCGGTTTTTTGGGTTTTACAACCTGTTGCGTCGGCAGAATTGGTTGCGATTCTGTGACCGATTCGTTTTCAGGTTCACCCAAATATTTAGCTCTAACTGCAGGTGTTATATCTTTTCTTGAAGTGCTTGGTGTTTCTTCAACGATGGGCTCGAACCTTGATTTTTTAACTTTATGTTTTCCTGTGAAACTATGAGGTATTGAGGGTGGAGGGTACACTTTTTTGACCACCAGTGGCGTTTTGGACTTAACAAACAAATCAAAGATTAAGTTGGCGGCGCCGGAAGTATCCTTTAACTTCTTTTTTTCGCGCGTTAATTCAAAATCGTACTTGCTCATATCTTCCTTCATGTAAATATCCTCGTCCTCCTCCTCAAAAGCCCCAACCCCAAACGCTCTACCACTTATGGTCATTTTTTCGTTATTTTTACCTCTAATAACCAAATTCGAACTTTGAAACAAGTTTATATGCGATCTGTCCAAACCTGTGTAGCCCAATCCAAAGGAGTTAGCTTTTGGGGTGGTTAAAAACTCCCTATAAATTGCTGGAATTTCGTATTGTTTAGTTTTTGCTGTAGATATTTCAACCGTTTTTGGTATTTCACAACCATAAGTCCTCAATGATTCACCTTGTTGTTCAGTACTGTTTATGCTTATTTTATCTTGTACTCCGATGTTTTTCAGCAACAAATACCCCACAGTTTCATTACCACTGGTCAGTAAAGTGTGCAGAACTGGCTCTCCAGGTATAGGACCATCAGCAAATGCCTTCCTATGCCGTTTCTTACTAGTATTATACTCTTTAGTAGCCTTTACGGTCTGCGGGGCAATCCCATACTCCCCAATATCCTCATCATCCATAAAATCCTCAGGTCTTTGTCTTAGATTCTGAGCCTTATCCTGCCGTGTACTTTTAAACTCTGAAGGGGTCCAACCTTCCAGGGACCCCACGGTATTGTAAAAACCAGCGGAAAAACCTCCAGTGAAGGCGCCATGAAACCTACGCCTACCATGCTCATCAGTAGCCACCTGTTCTTCAATCGTTATCGGTTTTTTCTTCGGAAAAGCGTCTGAAAGTTTTTGGTTATGTTTCGTGTTAAATTATGTTGAATAAGTGCTTTACCTTCATCGTAGGGTTGCAGGGGTTTGCCTAGGAAGCAGAAATTCTCTTCTTCGGACTCTGACGACATTTTCTTCCGTTTTTAACGTTTGTGTATAAACGTCAAAACATAACCTAATTAAATTGACAGTTTGCAATGGCGCAGTGTTGCCAACTCTGGTTGTAGGGATTTTTTGCGTATGATAGGAATTTTTGAATCACTCAATTTATTTTATTCGTGTTGTATTTTAAAGTCAAAATATTTTAAATTATACTCCTTTGTACCATAATTATTATTGTTAAGTTAAGTTTTAAATAAAACCAGAAGTTTTTTAACAAAATTTATGGATTTTTAAAGCGACCATGTTGGCAATACTGAAATTATATAAATATAATTAAATTTTATTGCATAACAAAAAATTAAATAAAAATTAAATTTGCATAATTTTATTTACTCCACAAAGTACAATGTACAGAATCACTAAAAACACTTTAAATAAATAATTTCGTTTTAAATACAATATTTAAATAAATTTAAAAATCTAGAATAAATACAATAATTTGTATTATCACAAAATTCTATTGGATGTCAAAATATTAGTGTTTTAGTAAACTTTATTTTTTCAAAATGTTATCTATCCAGTTATTGAGTTTATCTTCATCTTGCAATCCAATTAATCTTTCCTCGACCTTGCCATTGCGAAATACTACAAGAGCAGGGATTGTGCTAACCTATAATAAAAATATTAACAATTATCTATAATTTTGTGTTAAAAATTATTTATTTACCTCATATTTAGCCGCTAGTTCACCCAAATCATCAATATCAACCTTTGCCAAACAAATATCACCTTTACGCTGAGCCATCACATTTTCTAACCTAGGAGCTAAAGCTTTACAGGGTCCACACCAACTGAAATATATCGAAAAATTATTGTCACGCACTAAAAAACGTCTTAAGTGCACTTACGTGGCGTGAAAGTCCACAATCACCGGTTCTTTACTATTTTCCACCTTTTCCAAAAAATCCTTGTCATCTTGAACCTTAAAAGAAGCGCGCAAAACCGAAGACCTACTGATATTCCTCGTGTTTAATCTAGCTGCAGCTCCAGTAGACCTAGCTGCAATACTACGAATTAGGAAACTCATTTTAAAGCAAATTTGGACGTAATTTATTAAATTTCGCGATAAGTGACAGCTGTCAATTTCCACTGTATCGAATTTCCATTGGATCTAAAGGGTGTAAAAAATGTAAATAAACAAAGTAAGTGTCAAAAATAAATAATGGTGTGTATTATTATAATAAATTTAGGTGTTTTGCGTTAAATTAGCGATGACTTGGGAGTTGTGTTTGTTTTTGAACAAATGCAAATGTCATCACATCACCAGTGTTGTCATGTTTTTCGTTTTAACGGTAAATCTACAGCTTTCGCTGTTAAAATATTCTAAATTAAGTCACCCAATTTTGTGACACCCTGTATTAAAGTATTTTTTTTCGTTTATGATATGTAATTAATTAATGTTTTCTACAGTAGTGTTTTCGTGGAGTTTTTTTACCATAGATAAGAAATGTCATCTACATCATTTTGTTATAGTCATCTGGCAACACTGCACGTCACAAACATGGACGGTAATTTGTATTTCGGTGTTGTAATTTAAAGCATTTTCGTTTATTGAGTGCGTAGAATGTCGGAAAGAAACGAAAAAATACTCGCTGAATTGCTGAAATACCCCGGGAATAACGTGTGTGCTGATTGCGGGACTCCAAGTAAGTAATTTTGTTGAAAAAAACGTATTTTCCGTGTAGTAAGCGAGCGTGAAATCCATGCTCCAAAAAATTGTAAACAAATCTATTAATAGAATTACATAGTGGGTGATTAGTTGTAATTATTGTACGTTTATGAGTTAATTGAGTGTTTTTAGTGGTTTTAGGGAGTTTTCGCGTATTTTTGGGTTGTTTTTGTGGAATAAATAAGTTGTTTATTTGGTACAATTGTTACATAAATTGTTTTTCATTACAAATTGTTGTTTACCGACACAGAAAATAACAATTCTATCGCTGAAACAAAATTATTTTTTTTTAACATTTTAAAGTTTAAGGCCGTATTACAGCCGGCAATTCTTTCGGCAATTGCAATGAAACTTGCCATAGGCATGCGCGGTTGAGACCTTTCGACGAATCTCTTGCAATTGCCGAAAATCGGTCCGGATGGATTTTTATTGCCGTTTTATGGCAATTCTGGGGTGAAATCTGGTAACTTTTATGTTACCAACCCTACTACAAATTCCCTAGAGAGACGCTGTTTGACTTAAACAGTTTAAGGTTATTTGTTGTATTTGTTTTATGATTGGCATTGTGTTCAATGTTCTAGTATACATTTCACTCATTAATTTTTAAATATCTCTACTATATAACAAATAAACTTAGTGTTTACAAAATCGTATATTTTTCTTCGGTTGGTAGCACGGTAATAAACAGCAAGTTTTCTTGCCATTGCCGGCTGTAAAACAACATGCAAGACGGCCTTGAAAACTAGATGGCAAGAAAAATTGCTGCAAGAAAAATTGCTGCAAGAAGAATTGCCGGCTGTAATACGGCTTTTAAAATTATTGCCCACTATACAGGGTGTGCCAAAAATGGCGGCTTTACGCCATACCATAACTCTCTTAAAAATATCAACTTATATCAAGCTAGATATTACTGTCTTAAAAATGTGAATTAAAACTAGATATAAGTGTCGTTAATGTCAATATAAGCCTGTTTTAAGAATGCGCCCTAAACTACCATGCGTCATAAGGACGTCATTAACACGTATTTTTCTGACTAGGATGTCATGTGACCACCGCGCCACACTATTAAGCCCGTTTCATATAGGTAGATAGTTAGACGACTAATTTACGGCATTTAGCTTACGTAAAGAAGTAATCAATTTAGTCACATTCAGATTAGCCTATTCAAATTAGTCTATCAAATGAATGTGAATAAATACTATTAACAAGCACACAGAACAATAAAATTTTAATTTAAAAAAATATATACCTAGGTATTATATAATTATCTGAAAATAACTTAAGTTATATCAGACTTCATCAGTGGCGAAAATTGACAAAAGAATGTAACTAGATATAACTGTTGTAAAATGTCAATTATAACTGTTTTAAGAATTTCACCCAAACTATATAAGAATGTCACTAAAAGCTATATTTTACTATTTTAAGAATGTCAATTAAAACTATAACCGTTCTAAAAATTTCAATTTAAGGTAGAATAAAGAATGTAAATTAAAGCAAGATATAACTGTCTTAAGAATGTCAAGTAAACCTAGACATAACTGTTAAGAATGTTAATATAAGCTTTATTTAATTGTCAGCTAAAACTTGATATGGGTATATGGGTGACTCTTTTAAGAATGTCAATATAAGCTGTATGTAACTTTTAAGAATGTCAACTAAAACTAGATATATCGGTTTTAAAAATGTCAATTTAAGGTAGGTATTACTATCTTCAAGAAATTTAAGCTGCATATATCTTTCTTAAGAATGTCAACTAAAACTATATATAACTGTCTTAAGAATTTCAATATAACTTTTTTAAGTATGTCCACTAAATCTAGATATAACTGTTCTAAAAATGTCAATTTAAGGTAGATATTACAGTCTTCAAGAATAAAGAATGTACAAGAGCAAGATATAACTGTCTTAAGTATGTCAATTTAAACTGGATATATCTTAAGAATGTCAATATAGGCAATATTTAACTAGGTATTTTAAGAATGTCAACTAAAACTAGATATAACTGTTTTAAAAATGTTGGATATTACTGTATTTAAGAATATAAATTTAAGCAAGATATAACTGTCTTAAAATTCAATTTAAGGTAGATCAGGGTTGCCACTCATCTCGTAAACCTGGAAATGTCAGGGAATTAAATTTTTTTAGAAATTTCAGGGAATTGGCAAAAAAATCTACAAAGTCAGGGAATTCCTAAGTCGGTCAGGGAATTGGTTATTTATAAATAAAACTGGTCAACAAAATTTTTATTAAAAAAAGATATATGTTAACAAGTGTACCTAATTTAAATTTAATTTATTTAAAATATGGCAGCCCTATATGTCAAACTTATCCGAGGGGGGTAACAACTGAACCAAAATTTGTACATGTATTGCGCATTACGTGCCTTTTTTATGGTAATACCAGTAATACCAGTGTAATATCAGTAATTCCAGTGTAATTCCAGTAATTCCAGTATAATGCCGGTAATTCCAGTGTACTGCCAGTAATTCCAGTGTAATACCAGTAATTCCAGTGTAATGCCAGTAATTCCAGTGTAATGTTAGTAATTCCGTATTTACTCATACATACATTTTTGTTGGAAGAAAATAATATAAAAATAAAAGAAATCTTGACCATTCTTAAAAAAATAAAAAAAATGCATAATTTTTATATTATGATAACATATTGTGGCAACATCCATGAAGGGAAAGCATTATCTTCACAGAATATTTATATGAAACCAAATATAATATACAGTTTGGACATATTTATTATTTTCTCTTATCACATATATACAAACATACACATATATAGGTACCTACAACTAAAAAATATTCTTAAACTATTTGTTCACGCGAAAAACATTTTAGTCGATCATATTCTTGTACTTGTCGTACTTTGTCGTCTGCTTCTAAGAGTTCAAAGAGGTAATTTCTTGCAAATAAATTTATATTTTCAATATGAATATCGGTGATTTTTGATCAGCCATTCCACGTTACTCGGGAATTTTTGTAGCGTCCGTTACAATCAAAAATTGTGAGTAAAACTACCGTAATTATGATGCTTATAAGCTTAAGCCTAATTATTACAAGCATAATAGTATTAAATTTAATTACGGTAGCTTTTACTCACATTTTTTTATTGTAACGGACGCTACAAAAGTTTCCGAGTAGCGTGGAATGGCTGTGATATCGAATGTAGGTTGTCATAACCAGTGTAAATCATTAGGTTTTTTTACATGTAAACTGGTAACTGAAAACCATGTAGTTGAACTTTACTAATACAGGCATCAACTGGACAAATTGATTCTTCTTCGGATAATATTAATTCTTTTTCTGATGAAAACATTCTAAAAGATCAAATAAACTATAAAACAAGGAACAAAAATAGCTGGGTCGGTCCATATCAAATCACCCGAAGGCTTTTTCTTCACCATCTCCGATTTTGATTATTTTTGGTAAATTTGTTTTAATCATTAAAAAACTCATAGATCCATTTTTTTGTAATAACAAGTTTGTTAAAAATCAAAAATTGCAATATATCAAATACTATTTAAAGTAAAAGGTGGGTCCTGTTTTAAAGGTCTTTTAGGGGCCTTTTTATGATATATCACATAGACTAATTTTTTCATCATTTTGAGAGAAGAAATTAAATATGTCAAAAATGCCTTTTTAATTTTTTCAAGAAAACTATATTTTATTGCAGCATACAGCATTGAATTACTTTAAAGGAATTGAATTACTATAAAGGAATTAAATTACTTTAAAGGAATTGAATCCTTTGAAAAATAATTCAATTTCTCAAATATCTTAAAAACAATTACCAATAACAATTACTTTCTAGAAAGTAATTGAAGTGCCAATTATTTGTAAGGTTTAAAAAAAATAATTTAATTAAAGTAATTAAATTACTGTAAAGTAATTTAATTACATTTTCAATTACTTTAATTCAATTACTTGACAGCTCTGGTCGTCGCTTTAAGTGGTTTTTGAGATATGGCTATTTTTGTACAAGACCCAAATCGGCAATTTTTCAATTTAAAAAAATCAATAATACAAAAACACGTCATCGAAGAAAATTTTTTTTTGGGTTTTTTATAAAACAAATTTACCAAAAATCATCGAAATTGGTAAGGGAAAAAAGTATCAATTTTTTGGTTGATTTCGAGTTTCGGTTGATTTAATATTAAAATTAGCAAGAACTCAAACAAGGAGAACTAAATTCTATTAAATTTTGCAAAAATTACAAAAATTTCTTTTCTTGCTCAATTGTCAACAATTGCCAATATGTTGACGAAAAAGTGCGGAAAGAATTAGTAAGCTCGCAGGAAATAAAAACTAATATGTAATAGTTATTTACGATATAAGTGGGATAAGAGCTTTATTAACGTACGCATGCGAAATTTGCCCAACGAGTGCGTAGCACGAGTTGGGCAATCGCAAAAGTACGTTAATAAAGCGTTATCACACGTATATTGTACAAATTTTTATCTACGCCTCTAAATGAAAAAATAAACGGTAATTATTTTTGTCTAAGACTTAATTTAGGGTTATTTTGAAATTTTGACTTTTTTATTTGATTGGTTAAAAGCAGAGAAAAACGCGTGCGTTAATGAACTTCTTATCTCACTCAAAATGAGTGGGATAAGAAGTTCTTATCCCACTGGCGTAGATAAAGATAATTATGCATAAGCCATAATATTCCAGAAGATTTAAGTTTTTTCTATCACAAGATTAAAAATATTGGGAGAAAAATACATTTTTTCTTAAAAATGTTAATCCATAATTAATTTTAATGTTAAAGTCAGGAAAAATTCTAATGTCAAATTATTTACTTACATTCGAGCTTACATTGTGGTTTTACTGTAATTTAATACGTTTTGATTTAATTTTTTAAAGAATTTGTCAAAATGACAAATGTCATGAAATCTTATAATCTAAAATTATTTAAAGAATAAATGCCAATTTTCGATTTAAAATACAAAAATCTTAGGCCCTTATGGATATTTAGCTTTTAATTCGGCCTTGTTCAATGTTTTCGTCAATCACGTGAACAGCGTCTACATTAAGTTCTCGTTAAATAAAAATACACTTCATCCTGGGTAGAAACGCTTCTTAAAAAAATTCAGGAAATTATTGAGAAAAAAATGCTTCAAAAGCCAAAGTTTGTGTTTTAAGGAGAACTGTGATTCTGGGGTAATTCCCTTTCTTAGCAAATGGTCTAAATGATGAGCAAAAACTAAATATCTTACTAAAATTAAAAATACCTATAAATGATTTTATTTCACTTACCTCAACTGTCTAACTACAACCACAAAAGTCAACCTTAATGCCATAAAATGCGAGCGTAATGCCGTAATTCATACGTAAGGCCGTGAAATTTGTAAGTAATGCAATGTAATGCCGCCTAATACCAGCGTAATACTGCGGAATGCCAACATAATGCCGGTAATGTCATGTAATGCCAGGAATGCCGCCGTAATGCGGCGTAATGCATCAAAATTTGTACATGTATTGCCAGCAGTTGTTACCCCCCTCGAACTTATCACTATAACTATTATCCTGCAAAAAATGATAGAAATGAAATCTTTTTTTTGTACTATCAAATATTAACTGATAAGAACTCATCAACTTGATAAACAAGACCTGCCGCATACAAAATTTTAGAGGCATTTTAAAAAATTTCATTATTTCTGTTATTTTCAGATTGAACAGAAAATTAATGTAATAAAAACCCAAGAAACAAAAACCTAAATTAAAAATTATCCCGAAAAAATTAGCCACAGAAAATTTTTTGTTTTTTTTTAATAAGAAGTATTTATTTTTTTTTAAAAGAAGTATTGATTATTTTAAAATGTTTTTGAATTTTATAAACTTAATAAAAGTTTAGGTTTTTAATTAATCGTTATAATTCCCCACCAAGAGAAAAATAAATAAAAAAATGCAAGTATTACATAAGCACCAAAGGGGGGAGAAGATATAACTGTCTTAAAATTCAATTTAAGGTACATATTACTGTCTTATAGAATAAAGAATGTACAAGAGCAAGATACTGTCTTAAGTATGTCAATTTAAGCTGGATATATCTGTCTTAAGAACAACAAAAACTAAATATAACTGTCTTGCGAATGTTAGTGAAAGCTATATTTAATTAATTTAAGAATTTCAACTAAAACTAGATATAACTGTTCTAAAAATGTCATCAAAGGTAGATATTACTGTCTTCAAGAATAAAGATTGTAAATTTGAGCAGGATATAACTGTCTTAAGAATGTCAATTTGAGCTTGATATAACTGTCTTTAGCATATAAACTTACTCTTCTAAAAACCAAATATTTTTTCGGTTTTGTCAACCTTGTTGGACGTTTTAATACTTATATGACTATACTCCTACTTATAGGAATATAAATTTTGGCGTGCATAAAAACAACTTTATTTAAAGTACATTCATTAAAGTTTAATTGCTTTGTTTGTTCAATAATAAACATGTCATCAAAATAATTGCAGTTATTTACATTAAATTTTAGATCCAGAATGGGCTTCATACAATATAGGTATTTTCATCTGCACAAGATGCTCAGGGGTGCATCGAAGCATGGGGGTGCATATAAGTAAGGTTAAGCATTTAAAGCTCGACCGATGGGAGGATTCGCAGGTTGAGCGCATGAAAGAGGTGGGAAATACCAAAGCGAAATTGAAGTATGAAGAAAGGGTGCATCCTTGTTACAGGAGGCCCAAGCAGGACGATCCTCAGTAAGTTTTTTTGTGTATTTTTATTAATCTATAAATATTTTGTATACCATTAATAAAATTAACATTTTTGGTCTAATAATCATTATTATATTATAGTGGTTTTTCGCGATTAGAAAATTTATATGTAAAACCTTAATCTAGTATTATTTTGAATTAACATTTTTCGTTTTATGTGTTTCTTGAAAGATTTGTTAATTGATTTTTAATAGTGTTTTTATAGTTTTTGGTGTCAACAAATATAGAAAAAGTAATTTTTTAGTTTAATACATTTATCTTGGCACGCTGGTCAAAACTAAAGTATAGGATGAACAAAAATGCCAACATAATCTGATTATAGACTCTTTTGGTAACACTAAAATGTATTTATCAAAATCCCAGCTGATCCTTTATTAAAGTTTTGCATATTTCTTAGTATTTTAAAATTGTTTATGCCATTTCGATAAAATACTCTAGTACCATTATCAAATGTTTTTAAAAATTTGGCAGATACATGACTGAAATATGGATAAATTACATTATAAATATAAAATAATGTAAAATACATATCTTATTTAAGGTATACCTTATACAAAACTAATAAATAAGTAAAGATTCTTTGAAGCAAAATCGATTACTGCTTGCCTTAAATTTTCAGTAAAACTTTTTCTTGGGTTTTACATGGAATTGTTTTTAACATGGAAACAGTATTTTTAAATTCTTCAGTCTCTGTACAAACATGCTTCTTACATCTAGCGATATCCCCTAGAAAGGAAGAGCATATCAAAAATTTAGTTCGTTCGTCCGTCCTCTTCCCTTAATAATTTTTTATGCCCTTTATATCTTGCCATTTTGCAGATAAAGCACATACATTCTTGGCTGCCGCGAAGTTCTCTAGCAATTTCTAAATTTTATGCAAAAATACCGTTTTTACCATATTGAAGTAGGTAATTTTGAATCACTTAAGTTAAAGTGTTCGTTTGAAAAAGTCTGCAGTAATTTTTATATTTTCTCAGAAACCCTTTATAAAGTATACATTAAATAAACAACTAAAGCAAAATGTCACTTGCGTTATAACGTATAGCAATTTTTTTCATAACCACCTTAATTATTTTTTTACAAAATTTGCAAGTTGTAATTATTTCATAGACAAACTTCCAGTATTTTTTTTTATAAAAAATATTTAATATATAAATCTTCATTTTTTTTGTTATGTTTTGTTTGTAGTGGTAAAAAATAATAGGTGACTCAATAAATTAATACTGGGGAGTAAAGTAATTTAAATGATACAAAGTTTATTATTTTGCTTAATTTTATTAAAATTGTACAGGTAGTTTTAGTACAATAATTGAAAAATAATATATAGAAATAGAAAAACAAAAAACTTTAAAATAGGGTCTATAATCAAAATATGCTATCAGTTTTGGTTGGCATTTTTGTTCGTCCTATACTTAAGTTTTGACCACCGTGTTGGTTGGACTTTGGAAGCGACAAAAATTTGGTGGCTACCTTTAATATTTTAAAATAAAAAAGTATTTGTGGTCATAAAAAATATATCACTTGCCCGTAGGGAAATATTTTTTTATTAATTTTCATTTATAGTTATTATTTTGAAAGAATTTATTATAATCTATAACTCTCTAAAATAGAAAAAGGTTCCTGTTTACTTTTTTACTTATTTTGGAAAATTCAAGTTTCATAAATATTTTTTTTAATTCGCCTATTTTTCTTTTGCTAAACGATCATAAATTTAGCATTTACAATACCTTATCTTGAATTATTTTGACTGGATGCCTAAAAATAAACTATGACTGCATAACATTCTAAAGAATTGTTACAATAATAATATTATACAATTAATTAAGCCAAATGCATAAATTAATTTGCGGTTATTATAGGTAACATTCTTTTATCCATCAAACATATCTAAAATTAAAAAACAATATTGAGCAAAAAATGCAACAATCTTCTTGGGCATAGTTGGCCAACTAGTTTTATATCACCTCGGCACTATAGGGTCCTAGTGGAGCAATGGATTCGAGCAAAATATCAACGCGAAGAATTCTGCCACCCGGAACGTCAAACTTACACTTCCGGCCACTTGGAAGGGTATCTGATGAAACGCGGAAAAGAAGACAGCAAATACCAAACCCGAAAGTTCGTGCTTTCGGAAGCCGACGACACGCTCAAGTACTACGTGCGGGAAAACAGAGAACCTAAGGTAAGTCCTGTAAAAATGTGTTGCCTAAATATTAAATTAACTGCTCCTCCTGCCAAAATGTCTAAAATTTGCGATTTTGGACGAATTTGAAAAAGGTTAACACTGAAGTTTTATTTATGGAAGACTGGGGTCTATAATCTCAGGGTGGCTTAAATGTTGTATCTAAACACTAAATCAATTAATCTCCTTGCTAAACTATCAATAATTTCGTTTTTGTTATAAAAATATGGAAGTAAACATTGTTATTTAAGGGATGTTTGTGTCTATAAAGTCGGGGTGAAATAAATGTGATCTTAATACTAAATTAACTGCTCCTCCTGCCAAAATGTCTAAAATTTGTGATTTTGGACGAATTTGGAAAAAGCTGTCACTGAAGTTTTATTTATGGAAAACTGGGGTCTATAATCTCAGGGTGGGTTAAATGTTGTGTCTAAATACTAAATTAATTACTCCCCTTGCTAAACTATCAATAATTTCATTTTTATTATAAAAATGTGGAAGTAAACGTTGTTATTTAAGGAATGTTTGGGTCTATAATGTTCGGGGTGGAATAAATGTGGTGTATTAATACTAAATTAACTGCTCCTCCTACCAAAATGTCTAAAATTTGTGATTTTGGACGAATTTGAAAAAAGCTAACACTGAAGTTTTATTTATGGAAAACTGGGGTCTATAATCTCAGGGTGGCTTAAATGTTGTTTCTAAATACTAAATCAATTACTCCCCTTGTCAAACTAGCAATAATTTCGTTTTGTTATAAAAATATGGAAGTAAACATTGTTATTTAAGGGATGTTTGTGTCTATAATGTCGAGGTAGGATAAATGTGGTGTTTAATTTCTAAATTGACTGCTCCTTTTACCAAACTGCCTAAAATTTGTGATTCTGGACGAATTTGGAAAAAGCTAACACTGAAGTTTTATTTATGGAAGATTGTGGTGTATAATCTCAGGGTGGCTTAAATGTTGTGTCTAAATACTAAATCAATTACTCCCCTTACTAGACTATCGATAATGTTGTTTTTATTATAAAAATATGAAAATAAACATTGTTAAATAATGGAAGTAAACGTTGTTATTCAAGGGATGTTTGGGTCTATAATGTCGGGGTGGCATAAATGTGATGTCTTAATACTAAATTAACTGCCCCTCCTGACAAAATGTCTAAAATTGTTGATTTTGGACGAATTTGGATAAAGCTAATACTGAAGTTTTATTTATTGAAGACTGGGGTCTATAATATCAGGGTGGCTTAAATGTTGTGTCTGAATACTAAATCAATTACTCCCCTTTCTAAACTATTAATAATTTCGTTTTCGTTATAAAAATATGAAAATAAACATTGTTAATTAAGGGATTTATGGAAGTAAACGTTGTTATTTAAGAAATGTTTGGGTCTATAATGTCGGGGTGGCATAAATGTGATGTCTTAATACTAAATTAACTGCCCCTCCTAAATAAATGTCTAAAATTGGTGATTTTGGACGAATTTGGAAAAAGCTAACACTGAAGTTTTATTTATGGAAAACTGGGGTCTATAATCTCAGGGTTGCTTAAATGTTTTGTCTAAATACTAAATCAATTAATCCCTTTGCTAAACTATCAATAATTTCATTTTTATTATAAAAATGTGGAAGTAAACGTTGTTATTTAAGGGATGTTTGGGTCTATAATGTCGGGGTGCGGTAAATGTGGTGTCTTAATACTAAATTTACTGCTCCTCCTGCCAAAATGTCTAAATTTTGTAATTTTTGACGAACTTGGAAAAAGCTAACACTGAAGTTTTATTTATGGAAGACTGGGGTCTATAATCTCAGGGTGGCTTAAATGTTGTGTCCAAAAACAAAATCAATTACTCATCTTGCTAAACTATTTACAATTTCGTTTTTATTATAAAATATAAATACATTGTTTAGAGGATGTTGGGGTGTATATTGTGTATAAACATGAAACAAAATTTCAATTTTAGGCAATCTTGCGAGTGTCTGAAATAAATGTGGCTTTTTCCCCGGAAAAAATCGAGCATGCAGCTTCCATGCAAATCACGTTTTTAAAAGATGGCACTACAAGGCACATTTTTGTGTATCACGACGATCCGGAAATTATCACCAATTGGTATATGGCGATAAGGTGCGCGAAATTGCACAGATTACAGGTAAATATCCAAAATATTCAGAAGTCGGAACCAAACAATTTTAAACTGTTTATGTAGGTTGCTTATCCGGCAGCAGACGAATGCGTGCTGGTGAATTATTTAACCGAAGACTTTGCCAAAGAGGGATGGCTTTACAAAACGGGGCCCAAAACCACGGACGGGTTTAAAAAACGTTGGTTCACGCTGGACAACCGGAAATTAATGTACCACGATGAACCGTTAGATGCTAATCCGAAAGGAGAAATATTTATAGGTAAGAAGATATCTTCTTTTTTATATTGCCATACAATTTTTTAAATCCTAAGTAAGAATTTTGTTCTCAAAAAATGCAGGTTTTTACATATAAGTGCAATTAAAAATATTTAAAACAGTCCAGAGTTATTTTTTTTAAATAGGTATGTTAAAAAATAAATTTCAGTATATCTAACATTCTTTAAAATTATTTTAGAGTGTAAAAACCAGTTAGAATGTTAAAAACATATTTAAAAATATTACAAACTAATTTTAGAAACGCAAAAAATGCTTTTAAGAATGTCAAAACACATTTTGTAAAACCAAACATCCTTTAACTTTTTAGAATTTAGAATGTTAAAACATATTTAAGAATATTTTAAACTAATTTTAGAATGTCAAAAACGCAAAAAGCATATTTTTGAACGTCCAGAATAAGAAATATATACTTTTTAGAATTTAGAATGTTAAAACATATTTAAGAATATTTTAAACTAATTTTAGAATGTCAAAAACGCAAAAAGCATATTTTTGAACGTCCAGAATAAGAAATATATTTTTAAATTTCACATTTACTAAAAAATATTTTTTTTAAATGTTAAAACACATTTTATAAAACCAAACATTATTATTTAAACTTTTTTTAGAGTGTCAAAAAACATTTAGAATGTTAAAATTATATTTAAGAAAATTAAAAACTAATTTTAGAATGTCAAAAACGCAAAAAGCATATTTTGAATGTTCAGAATAAGAAATATATTTTTAAATTTCACAATTACTGAAGAATATTAAAAAATAATGTGAAAGGTTAAAAATGCTTTTAAAAATGTCAAAACACATTTTATAAAAACTAAACCTTCTTTAAACTAATTTTAGAATGCCAAAAACGCAAAAAGCATATTTTTGAACATATAGAATAAGAAATATATTTTTAAATTTCACATTTACTAAAGAATATTAAAAAAGCAATGTGGAAGATTAAAAATGCTTTTAAGAATGTCAAAAAACATTTCATAAAACCAAACTTTCTTTAAACTTTTTTTGCCAAAAAACCATTTAGAATGTTAAAAATTATTTAAGAATATTTAAAGCTAATTTTAGAATGTCAAAGAAACCAAAAGCATATTTTTAAACGTTCAGAAAAAGAAATATATTTTAAAATTTCACATTTACTAAAGAATATTAAAAAACAATGTGTAAGGTTAAACATGATTTTAAGAATGTCAAAACATATTTTATAAAACCAAACATTCTTTAAACTTTTTTAGAGTATCTAAAAATTATATAGAATGGTAAAACATATTTAAGAATAAATTGCACTAATTTTAGAATATCAAAAACGCAAAAAGCATATTTTTGAACGTTCAGAATAAGAAATATATTCTAAAATTTCACATTTACTAAAGAATATTAAAAAAACAATGTGGGAGGTTAAAAATGCTTTTATGAATGACCAAAAACATTTTATAAAATCAAACATTTATTTAAACTTATTTTATAGTGTCACAAAAACCATTTAGAATGTTAAGAACATATTCAAGAATATTAAAAACTAATTTTAGTATGTCAAAAACGCAAGAAGCATATTTTTGAACGTTCAAAACAAGAAATATATTTTGAAATTTCACATTTACTAAAGAAAATTAAAAAAGCAATGTGGAAGGTTAAAAATGCTTTTAAGAATGTTAAAACACTTTTATAAAACCAAACAATCTTTAAACTTGTTTTAAAGTTTCAAAAAAACCAATTAGAATGTTGGTGTTAAAATTAATTTTAGAATGTCAAAAACGCAAAAAGTATATTTTTGAACGTCCAGAATAAGAAATATATTTTGAAATTTCACATTTACTAAAGAATATTAAAAAAACAATGTGGGAGGTTAAAAATGCTTTTAAGAATGTTAAAACACATTTTATTAAGCCAAACACTCTTTAATTTTTTTTAGAGTGTTAGAAAAATCATTTAGAAAGTTAAAAACTTATTTAAAACTAAATTTAGAATGTCAAAGATATCAGAAGCATATTTTTGAACTTTCAGAATAACAAATATATTTTTAAATTTCACATCTACTATAGAATATTAAAAAACAATGTGGAAGGTTGTTATAAAACGCATTTTGTTATAAAACACATTTTATAAAAGCAAACATTCACTAAACTTTTTTGTAGAGTGTTAAAAAACCATTTAGAAAGTTTAAAACTTAAAACTAATTTTAGAATGTCAAACATATTTAAGAATATTAAAAACTAATTTTAGAATATCAAAATGCAAAAAGCATATTTTTGAAGGTCCAGAATAAAAAATATTTGTTTAAATTTCACATTTACTAACGAATATTTAAAAAACAATGTGGAAGGTTAAAAATTCTTTTAAAAATGTCAAAACACATTTTATAAAACCAAACATTCTTTAAACTTTTTTTAGAGTGTCAAAAAATACCATTTAGAAGGTTGAAACATATTTAAGAATATTTAAAACTAATTTTAGAAAGTCAATCAAACCATAAGCATATTTTTAAACGTTCAGAAAAAGAAATATAAATAATGTCAATACACAGCTAAGAAAATCAAACATTCTTAATTTTTTTTTAGAAAGTTTTAGAACTTTAAAAACATATTGTAAAATGTCAAAATAAAATAATAATTTTTGTGATTTTTACAATATTTTTTTATAATTAGGTCATGCGCTGGACGGATATGGGATACGGATAGGGGTGTCAGCAGGGGTCAAAGATCAGGGTTTCTCGTTTTCTCTGTCGACCCCTGAAAGAACCTACAATTTATCCGCCCAAACAGAGGCAGACAGAGATCATTGGATAGAAGTTATAGAAAGAGTAATCGAAAAACCTCTATCGCCGCAAGATTCAGCCAGTAAGTAAAAAAATATTTATTAGGGTGTGTGACGTCACAAAAAAAAATCTCGTTTCCAGCATCTGTCAGGTTGATAAGGAAACGCACCAACACGAACTCGATGTCCATATTCTCTCAAAGGTAGTCACAATGTGTAAAAAAAATATCGTCATCATCACCCGACTAGTCGTATATTTATTATTATTTAAACAATGAAAAAAAATTAATTCATCATCCATCTCATCGTTAATACTCAAATGACGCGGTATAATATTTATTATTCATCGGAATAATCGAAGTACTAGAATTTTTTATTTTTACTATACTGTAAGATTATATATATAACTTTTTTATTTGCCCTGACAAGGTATGTATTTTGAGGGTTGACACAGGGTGATTAAAATTATCCCCCCAAATCTACAAACCTTTTCCATGCTTAAATATTACTGGCATGGGAGAAATGGAAATTAAAGTCATCCTGAATATTGTGTATAAAAATAATTATTTTGCATATTATACAAGGTGACTACTAAATTTACCTCTATACAAAAGTTGATAATAACCAAAGTTGAAAGTTCGTTTTCGATTTTATTAAATGACTGAAAAAAAAATAAACGTTTCTGCACATTTAATAAAATTGAAAACGAACTTTTAACTATGACACCCTGTATCTTGGTTATTTTTGGCTTTTTAATAGAAGTAAATTTCGTTATAGGGACACCTTGTATAATAATAACTTGCCAGATTTTTATAAGTAAATATATTTTCACAAATAAATATATTTAATAACAAAATAATTAAATAGTGTTTTGAAATTTGGTAATCAAACATAGGTACCAAAATAAAAATCTTGAAATTCTTAGCTCTCTGACATAAAAATGTTGATCTCAATTTGCCACGGAAGGATTTTGTAAATATTATACAACTTTTAACGGAAAAAGTGTATTCTAAACTTTTAAACATATATGTTATGTTTCCTAGGTTAAAACTTACGTATTTTTAAAAGCAGGGTGATTCATACTTTATTTATAATAATAATTATTATCAAGCCTAATTCCTATTCCACAATTAAAATAAGTATTAATCACTCTGTGAAAACGTATACCAATACATACTAAGTAAAAATATTAATTAATTAATTAAAATAAAATGCTTAAAATTATTAAGCCTTTCTGTAATGTAATCGAGCAATAATATTAATATTTATATATGTATATTATATATCCGAATATGTCGACTGTATTCTAAAAAAAATAAAAAAAATATAAATATCAAATTTTTACTTGTGCTAAAAAGTAAAATATTGAATATATTTTTTGATGATGTAATACAGTAATAATAAAATTTAATGCATGTTTTATTATGTAACTTTTTTAATATGTTTTATTCTTTATTTATATAATGTATATATTTGATTGAGAATAAGATTTACAAATAAGATTTCTACAATATATCCATAATTTTACAAAATTGTTTTATTTTGCAAATACCTATTTTTGTTTATTTCCCAAGTTAAAAAGTTAAATTGCAACTTTGAATAGTTCAGTTTCTAGATATAAAAAACGCGTAAAAAATATTTAAAGAGTATAGTATAATATTTTATAACTATTTAGTATTAATGTTCCAATAAATTTGTTTATGTAAGAAAATACTACAAAACTGCAATTTAACCTTTTGGACTATCATCAATAGTTTAAAAGGTCTTAAAATTAACATTTTGTTAGTCTTTGTAAGTGAAATATTAATATTATATTTTCCATGGAACTTGACTCAATGAATTTTTTTCCAAATAATTTAAGGATCATCAGCCATTTATTAAAAAACTATGTACCTGCATGGAGAAAAATTAAAAAAAAATTCCTATTTTTAAATTTTTTTTTAAACTCAATAGGAACCTCAACAAAGTTGGAGACTTCTGCAAAAAAAAAATCCGCATAATCTGTGAAGTTTCTGTTGCAATTTTCCCACCACATTAAAAGTTACTGGACACAATCTTGGTTAGGTAAGAAATGAAACCATTTTTTTAGGTAGGTATGTAATCAAAATTTTATTTAAACAAACTAAAGTGTATTGTTTGGCGTCTTTGTGATAATAATTGAATATTATGTATCTTGTTTGATAAACGCACTTTTAGTCACGAATTTAATTTTGGCACGAGCTTGCGAGCGAGTGCTTAATTAAATGAGTGCCTAGAAAAGTTTATAAACAAGTTTTTCTACGACAAATACTTAATATTATCTAAAAAAATATTTAAATTAAATATTTGTATAAAGTGGCATCTATACGGAAATGAAGTAACCATCCCAACAAACATTTTTGACGTAATTTTCACCATTAACATTGCCCGTTGTAATTTTAATTAAACTTAACAATTTTTGATACTTTAAAATATTAAAATAACTATAAAATATGATTATGTAAAGAAAATAATTTATCCTTTGATTTTTTTTATTACTATAATTCCACAATATAATCACAAAGTTTTAAAAATTCTTACAAAAAGTGAAAGTTTTGTTTATTGGAATTCCCATTAGAGTTTCTACCGGCGTTAAAATCTCAATTTTTTCTGTGTAAATCAAAATTTATCAATTAAAAATAAACTATACAATATAGAAGCAGTTTTTCAAAGCAAAAGAGAAGAGAATGTTTTATGGGCAATGTACGCAAAATTTTTAACGCTTTATCAGTTAAATCTAGTTAACTGCACTACTACGGCGAAATCAAAAGGTTAGTACAAAAATATAATATAATCTTTTTATATATTGGCGTCAAGAAACTATTTATTACTTTTGTATTTTTGATAATAAAATAATTTTCACATTTAGTATTATTTTACTAGAAAAGTCCTTTATTTTAACGATTTTATGACATTTGACAACTGTCAACTAACTTAAAGGTAACTTCAGCCCGTGACTAAAACACCATAAAGCCACAACTTGTCATTGTGTATATAAAAGGTCACTTCGTGTCATCGAAACTTGTACAATAATGGGCGTTTTAAAGGTGGGAGTAGAAAAAAGCAATGTATTAACATAGAAGCTTAAAAAGTCTGTTTTGATGTTGGTAATTTAAATCCATTAAGCGATAGACCTGATATTATATAATATTGCATTTCAATAATTTTTAAATTAATTTATTAAAAAACTTCGGAATTTACGGAAAAATTGTGCCAGCGGAAAAAAAAACGAAAAATTGGGAAATTTTCAGAAAAATTGACTTTTTTATTTTATTCAAAGAAAAAAAACCAAAATGTTTTATGAAAATTTTTGAAGATGTGTTGTTTCTATAATAATAATTTTATGCCAGTCCTCATGAGGACTGCAGCAATGAAATTAAGTAATAATAACTATTATAAAATTATAATTATATGAACAACACATCTTTAAAAATTTTCATGAAACATTGTTTTTTTGCTTGTCCCGTTAGTAATCTTGGAATCGCTCTTTGCATTTTTTCACATTATTATCCTTTGAATAAAATGAAAAAGTCAATTTTTCTGAAAATTTCCCAATTTTCCGGTTTTTTCCGCTAGCTCAATTTTTCCGGAAATTCCGAGGTTTTTTAATTAATTAATTTAAAAATTATTAAGCTTCTATGTTAATAAATTGTTTTTCATAAAACATTTTGTCTTGTTTTTGATGGTCCCGTTAGTAATCATGGAATCGGCCAAAAGTCAATTTTTCTGAATTTTACGGATAGCATCCGTACACAGATATCGTGAAAAAAGTATTATGATTATAATAATTATTCCTTTTATTTTAAATCAGTAAGGATATTCTACCGGGTCGCAAAAAAACATATACGGTGCTGTATTAACATAACTTTCGTTTTATTTGACACTTCGATTTATAAAATTATAATTTTGTAATTTAAATTTATAAATTATTTATTATTTTGTAATTGGATATTTTTTGGAAAAAAGACCCAACTGACAGTATATTTAATGTTTACGTTTTCTGTAAGGATATTTTTTTAAATTAAAAAATGTTAAGTTATATACAAATGTTTATATTTAAAAAAATATTTTTTTCAAAAAAGTCAATTTTTTCGATTTTCTCCGACTCTAAAACCCTAAAGCTGACTAAAACCAGCTTGGCGTAAGAAATGAGTGGCTGTGCCCCTGCCCCAAGATGGCGGAAAACCTATTTCAGGGCTCCCACGGCTAAATTACAAATTTTATTTAGGAAGTTTTTTGTAAAATTTTAGGAGAAATAAGTATGCAAATGAATTTCTTTAACTAAGTAAATAAAAAGAACCCTTTACTACTTAAAAAATAACAAGCCAAATCGCTCGACGAGTTTTTTTTATTAAAAAACAAGTTTTTTTAATAAAAAAGTGAGGTAAAATTACTACTTTTGTATATATCTGAGGTATATATATGTATATGTACCTTATAATAAGTATAAATTTCATCATACTTTTAATTTTATTTAAAAAAATGCGTCGATAGATTTGGCTAAAAAACTGGGCCAAAATCAAGTGATGCAACATGTTATATTTATAATTTAAGAAAAAATATGTTAACCGTTTAGTTAATAATTAACAGTAATTGAATCGGTAAGATTAAGAATAGTACAAGTCCAAAAGTAAAATTTTTGATAAAATATTTCAAAAATCAGTTTTATAGTTCTAAATGCATTTTTGTCAGAACATTTTAACTATTTTATGGAATATAATATTCATATTCTGTATTTATATCTTCTCACAAAAATGTATTTTAAACTTTAAAATTGATTTTAGAAAATAAATTGTCAAAATTAAATTTTTGGACTTGTACTGTTCTTATTCTCAGCGATTCAATTGTAATGTGGATCCTAATACTTAAAAATCTCATAACAAAATATGAAGTTTGCAAAATACAGCAAAACATTCTTTAGATTGTTTACAATTTTAGCTGTCATTTAAAAGAAAATTAAAAATCCTTTTGTTTCATATATAACACGGTATATTTTTGACTAAAAAAACCGAAATATCGCTAAAAATGACAATTTTGTAAAAGTTTTTTTGTTTTTTTAAGAAAAATTTTGGTTGTGATATATTATTTTAAAAAGAATTTAATAAAATTGAACCCAAAATATATATTTTTAAATTGCTTTTTAAAAAAGAATTTTTTTAGCACTACCTTAATTAAACGCGGTCAGGTTGGCCTATAGGCCAAAAATTTGCTTAAATCTTGAAAACTCCTAAAATTGCATTCAATCTCCTAAAACTCCTAAAATCCTAAAAATTAAATTTAAATATATTTAAATTTAATTTTTAGGATTTTAGGAGTTTTAGGAGATTGAATGCAATTTTAGGAGTTTTCAAGATTTAAGCAAATTTTTTGGAATTTTAGGAGATGTGGGAGCCCTGCAATTTCTACATAACCTCTAAAAAACGTAGAAAAAATTTCCAAAATTTACACAATTGTTCCTAGTTAAAAACTTTAGTTTTCAGGAAGAACGGAACAAGAAAACACAAATTTCATCCTAATTAATCATTTATTCTTAAAATCTTACACTGTAAAAATTACAAAAGCCCCTCCATCTCCTCCATGAACTGCTTGTAGGCGTCGTCTTTGGTGTGCCGTCCCGCCAACGCGTTCTGGTGCATCTGATACTCCTTCTGCTTCAACTCGTGCACCAAACTCCTCTGGTTCGTCTTCGGCTTCTTGTCCTCCCGCTTGACCCTCAAAGTGGAGGGCACGAACCGCGTAACGTCCGCCGAAAGGTTCCTGATCTGCGGCTTGGCGCTGATGGTGGCCCCCTGCGGCTTGCTGACTATCACCGCCCCCCCGTCCGCCCTGTTGATCAGCTGAGGGGCGGCCGAGAGCACGTTGGGCGGCTGCGGCAGCAGGTTCGCGGGCAGCCGGATCATCCGGGGGGGCGCGGGGGGCATCCGCATCGGCAGTCGCGGGGGTAAGCCCGGCGGCGGTCCCGGGGGCATCAGAGGTCTACCTGTAGTAAAGAAAAAAACGTTTTTTTTATTTGAAAAAAACGGTTTTTATCTTTTTTTTTAAATCCGCTTTAATAAAGTATGGCACGCCGTTTGACTTTTTAATCGGATTAAAAATATTAATACTTTACAAAATAAATTGTACTGGAAAATAATTATTATAATACATTAATTAGAATTATACATGCCAAATAAGTTATTCTTTTTTTAAATGTGTTTATATAAGATGTTGAATTATTTACTTAATGTAATTTTTCTGTGTGAAATATTTTTGTGACTTATTAATATTTAACTTAATATTTGTTATACAATTAAAAAGTAAAATGGCGTTCCATCAAATTTTAATTAAATTTATGCTTGACATAATTTTATTTAATTATTATTATTTCAGATATAACTAAAATTATATTCCATAATTTAAAAAAAACCTACTTCTTTTACATTTAAAACATTTACGATTAAAAAGTGAAATGGCATACCATAATAAATCAATTAATTAATTAATTAATTAATCAATCACATCAATCTTAAAAAATTGAATATTTTCTTAATATGAAATTTTAAGCAAAATTTATATTAATAATAAAGTGAAATTTAGAAGATATTACATTTTCCATTCTTGAAAGTTTTGACTGAGACTAAAAAATGTAATTTACACATAAAAAACCAATAACAATATAAAACTTCTTGTCTGTCTATTATAGTCGAAAACATGATATTTATATAAATATGCAATATATATATCCATAATAAATATCCAATATAAATTGAGTGATATATATTTGCAAACCCTAAGGTTCGCAAATATGATATTTATATAAATATCCGATATATGTCAATATCAATATCAAGTGATATATATCTGCGAACCCTGATTATAGTATGTCAAGCCGTTTTAGCATTTATTTGAAGATTAAAGCACTTTAATGATGTTTTAACAGAGTAAATTTTTTTAAAACTTTAGTTATAAAAAATATTTTAATTCCACACCTGTAATTTTTAACCAATCAAAACGTGTATTTTTGATAGATCACCATGGCAACGGTTGAATTTTAGTGGAAATTTTTTCCTCGTGGGTACCCAACAGCGAATTATACTGGAAATTTTTTTGACGTTTATAATGACAGAATATTTTTTTTGACAATCTGGTTTTTATTTGTTTACATGTTAATTTTGATACATTTCCATTACAAAGTTTAGATGTTTTCTATATTTGTTGGACACCTCCTTTCTTCTTAATGGCGAAAATGCAGGACTTGAAATAAATTAAATGTCTATGTCTAATGAAATATTTATAATATATAGACACTATTCTATTCACCTTTTTTTCCATTTAGCACTTTGAGTTTTGAATAGTTAAGATGCAAATATTCGTGAACAATTCAAAACAAATTTTCTTTCTTCAAGTAGGAGCCACAATCCTCTAATAATGCGGGTAAATAAGTCATTGCACGATGATTGATCATTACAGCAGACAATTTCACATTTTTTTACGTCGTGCCGCTTGACAGCTTCAAAACTGAAATAACTTTTAGGTTGGGGTTGACTTAGTTGCCATGGTAACTAAATAATCAAGTTAAATCAAAATAGTATATTAAAGTACAAGTTGCAGAAGGCCACATATTCTCGCACGAATTCGAAATTTGGCCTCGAGCGACGAAGGAGCGAGTGGACGAACGAATGAGTGCGAGAATAGCCTTCTGCAACGTGTGATTTATACTATTTTCTCGATTTTAACTTTTATTTAGGTTTTTTTAATTGTTTTGTGGTCGTTGTTAGTTAGGGGATTTTTCTCGCAAAATGTCAGTTGGCAACACAAAATGACAATATTTGTTATCCTGCACAAGTACAACCTGAACTGCACTTTTACACATTAAACTTAAAATTTTGCATTAAAATGCATTGTTGGAGCAAACTTTATATTACAAAACAATAATAAAGGCTTCATTTTCAATAAAAGTAATGAATTTGAGGTTATTAATCAGTTTGACATTTTGGGGGTACCAATACTTAAAAAATCGTTTAAGAATGAGCTTCATTCTTCAACGATTTTGCGTGCGAGAATATGACATTCTTACATAAAAATCGAGAAAAGGATTTTTAATTTTCTTTTAATTGACAGCTAAAATAGTAAACAATCTAAAGAATGTTTTGCTGTATTTTGCAAACTTCATATTTTGTTATGAGATTTTTAAGTATTAAGATCCACATTACAATTGAATCGGTGAGAATAAAAACAGTACAAGTCCAAAAATTTAATTTTGACAATTTATTTTCTATAATCTATTTTAAAGTTTACAATACATTTTTAGTAGAAGATATAAATTATTTTTCAGAAAATGAATATTATATTTCATAAAATAGTTAAAATATTCTAACAAAAATGCATTTAAAACTATAAAACTGATTTTTTGAAATATTTTATCAAAAATTTTTCTTTTGGACTTGTACTATTCTTAACCTTATCGATTTTATTACTGTTAGTTATTAACTAAACGGTTAACATGTTTTTTCTTAAAATATAAAGATAACATCATTTGATTTTGGCAATAACTAAATCTATCGACGCATTTTTTTAAATAAAATTAAAAGTGTGGTGAAATTTATACTTGTGTATTTATGTACCTCAGATATATACAAAAGTAGTAATTTTTTCTCACTTTTAATTTTATTAAAAAAAACTCGTCGAGCGATTTGGCTAAAAAACTAGTCAATATTATTTTTTAAGTAGTAAAGAGATGTTTTAATTTAATTAAAGAAATTCATTTCCATACTTTATTTCTCCTAAAATTTTACAAAAAAACTCCTAAATTCCTAAATAAAATTTGTAATTTAGCCGTGGGAGCCCTGTAATTTTCGAATTATAATTGGACCAATAAGAGCGCTCCCGGATGAACGGACTGACGGACAAACGGATACATGAAAATTAAGCTTTACTAGTGAAAATTAAATGCTCTACAAAAAAGGTTAAAGTGAAATTTTCCGTCAGATGAACCGTTTCCTTAAAATCATGCCTTAAAAATTGATATAGTTTTACATTTTGATCTTTTAAATTGGAATTTTGTAATTAATGTAAAAATCAGTACCCATAAAAAAACCGATAAATATGTTTATGGGAAATCAAATGCTTTACAAAAAAAGCCTCTTAACATTTTTGGCTAAATTCACTCAATCAAAAGTTATTCAAGGTTAAAAATCCGTTTTGACTTCAAATTTAACCTTGAATAACTTTTGATGGGGTGAATTTAGCCAAAAATGATAAAAGACTTTTTTTGTAGAGCATTGTAGGGTACTGATTTTTACTTGAATTACAAAATTCCAAAGTGAAAAGATGAAATTGTAAAACTATACCAATTTTTAAGGCATGATTGTAAGAAAAGGGTTCATCTGACGGAAAATTCCAATCACACCTTTTTTGTAGAGCATTCAATTTACTTCAAAAAATATTCTTAAGTCAATTTTGTTAAACTTAATGATTTGGGTGTTCTGAGACAAAAACTCGCGGAGGGAAAAAAATCTAAGATTGCGATGATAGACCTCTTTCACCATAATTTTTTTTGTCACCCCAAACAATATTTTCGATATACTTTCCAAAAAAAAAAATAGTCGATTTTTTTGGTCCAGTCTAAGCGACATATATCTATTGCACGGGATTACCGATAAAAAGAATAAAAAACCGATCTGTAGTTAACCAAGGATCATCATTCCAAAGGATTGCGCTCAATATAGAAATTTTAACGCGTGTATTTCTAAGAGTTCTGCACTGATGCAATATAAACAATTTTAAAGTGTAATAAATCCCATATATTTCTTTAAAACACTGATTTTCCTGTAATATAAACTCAAAAGAATCGCGCTCAATTGACAGGTTAAGACCAACAAATTATAAATGTTAATTTTATCGAGCGCGAAAAGATTTTTCAAAAAAAGGTTAAAGTCACCCGCGGGGTGCAAAGCCACCCGTGTTTACGATATCAATATTTTGAGTTTAAAAAAATTTAAGTTTGTAAATTTCTGTTAAAACTTTATTAAAATGCTAAACTTTAATCTTTTAACTATTATCTGATAAATGCTAAAACGGCGTGTCATACGCGTGACTGTATTTACATTTACTAAATGCCATTTAGTGGCTTAATTTTATTCTATGAACTGGACAAAAAACATAAAAATTAAGGAAAAAAACAATGAAAAAAAAAACCGGATCGTTTTTTTTTTTCAAGTCACATCTCTAACCTGGAGGCGGCCCTGGGGGTAGCCGCAGCTGACCGGGGAACATCATGGGCGGCGGTTGCGTTTGAGGCGGCAGCTCCGTGCCCGGAGGCATCAGGGGCTCAATGTGAGCCGTCAGTTTGACCCTGTTGTCCTCCTCTTTGCTCAGCTCCATCTTCTTTTGCACCGTCTCCATCTCCTTCATGAATTCGTCGACGTTTTGCCCGGATAGAGCCACCATTTTTTGTTGCAACGACGTCGGTTTAACCGTGCTCGATTCCGAGTCGCTTAGCGATTCTTCCACTTCTTCTTTTTCCTCTTCCACGGCTTTGAAGGTGAAGTCTTCGACTTCGCCGTCGTCGTTTATGTCGGGAGGGGGGCCGGGCGGGCATCCGGGGGGCTCCCTCACCGGTTGACCCTAAGTTAAAGGAGAAAACCGCATTACTATGGCACGCCGTTTTAGCATTTATTAGATAAAAGTTTAAAGTTTAGCACTTAAATTATGTTTTAACAGAAATTTATAAAGTTAAATTTTTTTAAACTCAAAACAATTTATAGTCAACAAAATATTTTAAATATAAATGCAACAGTAACAATTTATGTTTAAAAATATTGATTTTTAAAAGTTTTGTTTATAATATTTTATTCTACAAAATTATTGGTTTAAATTTTAAAAGAGCCATTTAAATGATAGTTGATAAATTTTTAATACAAAAATTCTCACATTACATTTAAATGTAAGTTTTAAATTTTAAAGTAGTAATTTTTGGATTAAAAATTTATCGACATAAATATTTTACGCGTTTTAGAAATTATCGTATTGAAATGTTTCTTTATTAAATAAATTTAATTATAGAAAAACAACATTTTTAGTGCCTATTGTACTAAGATAATTTGACAATTAAAAAACATTTTTTCTAATTTTTAAGAGAAAATTTTTTAAAATGTAGTGCCACAATATTACGTGGATGCAACCCTATACCTATAACTTATAGGTTATAGGTATATGGATGCAACATACAAATTCCCGCTTTCCGGCTTTTGTAATTAGGTTAAGTGTTAAGCCTGATTATAGATTGATACAATCCCGTACGGGAATCTATAAACGGCACTGGGAATTTGTATGATGCATCCACGTAATATTGTGGCACCACATTTTAAAATTTTTTCTCTTAAAAATTAGAAAAAAATGTTTTTTAATTGTCGAATTAACTTAGTACAATAGGCACTAAAAATGTTGTTGTTCAATTATTAAATTTATGTAATAAAGAAACATTTCATTACCACAATTTGTAAAACGCGTCAAATATTTATGGAGCAAGCACGATTTGGCAACACTGCGGATCAAACTGGCTGCATCGTGGCTCCGATCCCAGAATCTTGTGCCTTCTACTAAAGCTACGTTTACACTTTGTAATTTAAAAATTATATACTTACATTTAAATGAAAAGTTATAAATTTTGTCTTAAAAATGTATCAATTTAAAATTGTTAAAAATAAAAGTTATTTGGTTTAAATTTGTAAAGAGTCATTTAAATGATAGTCGATAAAATTGTAATGCAAAAATTACCACATTAAAATTTAAAACTAACGTTTAAATGTAATTTTGAAACTTTTGCATTGAAAATTTATCGACTATCATTTAAATGAATCTTTACAAATTCAAACCAATAATTTTAAAGAATAAAATATTAAAATTACATTTTTTTAAAATTAATATTTTTAAACTTAAACTTTTACAGTTGCATTTTATATTTAAAATATTTTTTGATTATCATAGGTTTTGAGTTTACAAAAATTTAACTTTTTAAACTGTTTTGGTAGAAAATGTTTTATATGTGTTTTATTTTAAATGGCTTGATACTATTTTTAAATACTAAAAAATTTAACTTTACCAAATTAATCTCAATAATTTTATAAAATATTTATTTAAGTTTGCAAAATGCCACCCAAATAAATTATACTTGGGAAATTATTTTTATTAAAAAATGATAGTGAGAAATTTTTGCAAAAATTGATAGAAAATAATATTGTTTAATACAAAAGTGTAAATTTTGTCTTTCAATACATGATGGTTGAAAAGATTTTAAATTTATAAATGTAACCTAAAATTTTTAGTTAGGAAAATTTTAAACCAATAAAATTTTAAATTAAAAAATTATTTAATAATGTTAAAACGGCGTGCCATATTAGACCTTGTTTGACGATTGTTAGTTTCCATTTAATGCCTAAAGATGTCTCTGGAAGGATACTATAGTATGCTATTGGCCAATTCTACGGAATTAGTAAAATGAATATACTTTAAAAACCCACAAACACAGTCTAAACCATAAATGCAGTTTTCTTTAACAATTGCGGCCATAAATTAATTCAGTACGTTAATAACTTTTTTTAAGTTAAGGGCCAGTATACGCTAAAGAAACATCGGGTTTCCGCAACGCGCGCGCCATCTGGTGGTGTTCGATAGCATTGTTTGAATTCAAGAATTGTCAACAATACATTTAAAGCATACGAACTGCCCAACATTTTTTAATAAATAAGTACTTTTTCACAAAAGTCTTACTCGACAATTTTTTTTCAATTGCAAGTAAAAACTAAAAAACTTTGGTTTAGTACTCGATTTTGATTTATTATTTCTTATATTCCTTAAACTCAACGCTTATATGCTTTTATAGTTACGTTATTGTGTGTATATTATCTATGTGATCATGGTAAATTATTGTGTTTTTAATTGTAAATAAAATTTAAGAACTAAATCGTTGCATTTTCATGTTTTGCCAAAGAATCCAAATATACAGTGTGCCCACAGATGGACTTACCTATACTTTTAAAACTATTTATTTTCAATTTTTCGACGAAAAGTCATTTTTCATAATTTCTTTTGCTTGCTATATAAATTCAATTCGCTTTGAGAAACATCCATTTTGTTGTACAGTGTGAGCAAAAATACTGATATTCAAAATTAAAATTTTTTTAATATTTTTTTTTCAAATCAAAAAGTCAAATGAAGTTTTTTCATGAGATTTTGATACTAAGATATTTAATATTAATTTTATCTTAGTAACAACTCACATGAAAAAACTGTATTTTGCTTTTTGGTTTCTCCTTACAAGCTGTTCATATTAGACCTTCAAAAAAAATATTTAACAATTTTTAATTTTGCAAAATCTACAATTGTATTTTTTGTGGGCACCCTGTAAAACAAAATAGAAGTTTCTTATCGTAAATGGTATTTATTAGGGTGGTCGTTAAAAATTAAATTTTTTGCGACGCCCCCTGAAAAGCTTTGTTTTGATAAAAAACACTGGGAATTTTTTTAATTTTTTTTTAATTAAAAATAACACGTGCCTCAAGACGATCTAAGTTAATGTTTTGATATAATCATGTCTTTTCTGAAAATATGGAATAATAATTTTTTTTGAGATTTAAAAATTATTAACAATGAAATAACTTCACCTTGGAGTGAAGAAATCAAGATATTAAAATTACGTTTGTACTAATTTAGTTTTAAAATAAAAATATCAATTTGAATATCTTTCATTTTTTTATTTAATAGACCAAATCAACTGGGAAAAATTTTGAATTTAAATTTTTGTCTCTTGTTATTTCGATTAACTATTGTTTTTTATTGATTTGGGTTCAGAATTGTTTATATAATAATAATAATAATAATATTTATTTTACCATATAAACCTTACAATTAAATTAAATATATACAGTATAATAAAAATAATTGGCAAAATATGTAAATATCTATAATCTCGAATAAAATTGTGTTGTTTTTAATTTTAAAAAAATCTCAGTGCTTCTTTCACAAAAAAGAAGCTTTTTAGGGGGCGTCGCAAAAAAATTAATTTTTAACGACCACCCTAGTATTTATATAACAAGCAAAAGAAATTATGAGGAGTGACTTTTCTTTGAAAAATTGAAAATAAATATTTTTACAAGTATAGTTAAGACAATCCGTGTACACACTGTATATATATTTGTTGGTTCAGAATTAACTAATGATAAATTTACCAAATTAATTTATATTTAAGTTTGGAAATTTTTAAGAAATATAACAAAAAATAATTGTTGTACAAACATAACCTTAAAATCGATATTTTTATATTTAAAAACGCCGACAACTGCATTTTAAACGACAAAATACCTACGAAATCATGGCAACATTATGCATAATATAACTTTCTAAATCAACGCTATTAATAATGCTAAATGCTGTTTGAATTTAGACGACTTATTTGTTTTATGATTTTTACTGAATTGAAATGTTTACAATTTTCACGTAGGTAAATCATTACTAAAATGTGTATTTATTGTATCTAATAGGTACAATTTGTATTTACAGGGACTGTATGCAATTTATTTCTTCATTCGGATTTCCACTTTTTGTTGGGAAACCGGTAAAAACTAAACCCTCGTTTTTTCCCTCGAAAAACACCCAACAACGCGTTTGACAGCTGCTTATTAAAAGCGGAATTCTGGTTAGGAAGATAACGGCCACGTGGTGGCGCTACTAGCGATGCTTCTTTAGCGTATATTGTCTATTTTTTTAAATTTAAATGTAACATGACAAAAATTTGTTATTGTATATAAAAATAAACTTTTTATTGCAATTACAATATTTTTGCCCTTATTATGGTAAAATGTTACTTAACCCCTTCAGACAGATGGTCTAGTAAATTTAAAGGTAGGTGAATATACTGGCCTTTTATTTAATAATTATTGCATTAGTAGTAAAAATTATTCTTTCCCCCTTCAGTTTTAGATCTGAAGGTTTTTTTGCAATTTAATACTATTTTGGAAAAATGCCATTAAAGTAAACTCAACTATAGCAATAAAAATGGCTTGATCTAATTGGCTTTTCAAAAAGTTATATATATATTATTTCAATTGGTTTTGCAAATATTAAAAATTAGTAGGACAAAATTATGACAATTATTTTGACTTGTACCTATATTTTAATTAAGTAAAAGAAACATTTTCAATTTTTGTTTTGTATTTTATAAATTATAAAAATTAAATTAATTCAAAAAGTTTGACCATAACCTTTTTTGTAAAACTCACGACTTTTTCCAACAAAAATTTTTTAGTTAAAAGAAAGTTTTAGAATAATTTAAGGGAGTTTTAGCCTAAAATTATTAGGTACCATTTTAAGAGTTTGATAATTTTTTTTTTTAATTAACAAATTAATACTTCATAATTATGAAGTATTAATTTGTTAATTAAAAAAATAATTAATTAAAGTATTATTAAAAACTAAAAACAAAATAAAAAGTAAATAGGTAGGTAACATATTTTACATTTTGAAAACTCTTTAAATGGAGATACCTACTACCTTAATCACCTTAAAACCCAAAATCCCAAATATACACAAATAAAACCACACTAAATACATTTAATCTCTACATAATATTACATACCAAAGCTTGCAATTTTAAAGCTGTTGCTATAGAATAAATGGTATGTTCTTGTTTTCTCTCCGAAGGCAGTGGAATTTGTAATGCTGTATTGGCAGCCTGCGGCAATTGAGGTAACGGAATCTCATCCACTTGCACTTGCTGAGCACTTCGTACCGACTCAAAAAAAGCCACCAATTGATTCCTTTTATGCTCATATTCTGTTTGTTTTCTCTTTAAATCTGCCCATTTATCTGGATCATCTTTGTACTGAATAAAACAAAAACATAAACACAAAAAATCACTATAAAACAGAACAATACTTACATACATAGAAAGTACTCTATCTAGGGTATCTTTCAATTTTTTGCGCTTATCTTTCAACACTTTTTCATTCAACGGCGAAGGCTGATTAACATTATACTCTAAAATTATCAAAATATAAACAAACACCTCCTAAAAAACACTTTGTTTACAGTACCCATCTGATCGATTTTCTCCATTTCCTCCAATATTTGCTGCGGATCTTTTCCCTTTAAAACAGCGGCTCTCACCATCTGCCGCTGCTTCTTGTTCTTTTTTAACTCCTGTTTCCTCGCTTCTTTTCCTACATTTAACAACAAAGTTGTACATTTTGTACATTGTTAACCTAACAAATACCACTTACTCGCTTGATCGGTGGGGTTCATGTATTTACCACTTTTGGTGGTATTAATCGATCTTCGCCCCATTTTGGAGGCTTTTAATTAATTTTCCTGATATTTTTTAGCTTGTGTTGTCGCAAATTTTTGACAGATGACAGACAATTGTCATTTATTTATATAATGGGAAAATATAACCTACAATTTGTACATAGAAATGTCATTTTAAATGACTCATTTATTTATTTATCCAATGGAAAAATATAACCTACAAATTTGACATTTAAATATTTCTTGTTTTCTTTCGTTTTTATAGCTAATAAAATGTATATTAATAAAGATACGATAATTATAGGCAAAAATATTGTTCTGGTGCCGTATAGAGAAGAGCACGTCTTAAAGTAAGTTAATATTAATGTATATTATGGCTATTTTTTTAAAACATTCGTATTTTTTAGATATCATGAATGGATGAAGTCTGATGAATTACAAAAATTAACAGCATCGGAACCGTTGACGTTGGAGGAAGAATATGAAATGCAAAAATCTTGGTTAAGAGATGAAAATAGTAATTTAATAATAATAACAAATGTTGTAATATTCTTATATTTAATATTTTAGAGTTAACTTTTATAATACTTGAAAAGGAGAAATATTTGGCGACTAACAATGAAGTTGGTGGGTATTAAGTATTTAATATTTTTTTCATATAAACAACATTTTTTAAGAACCGATGGTGGGCGATACAAACCTATTTTTCGCCACCCCAGAGGACCGAATATTTGCTGAAGCTGAAATAATGATAGCTGAAGAGGGCGCAAGAGGCAAAAAAATGGGCTGGGAGGCAATGCTGCATATGTTTTTGTATGGTATCACAAAGTTGGGAGTGAAAAATTACATTGTAAAAATATCCTACGATAACCAAATAAGCCAGAAAATGTTCATCAACATGGGATTCACAGAGGAAAGCAGAAGTGAAGTTTTTCGGGAAATTACGTTTTACAAGATCGTTGATGATTTGTGGGTGCAGTTTTTGCAGCAAAGTTTGCAACCTTTCGAAATAAAAGATAGTTCATTTTGAGTTTTACTTTTTTCCAGTATTTTATTTTTTTTGTTTAAAAAATACCCATAACTTTATACAAAATTTTATTTACAGAAAAACAGCCTTATATAATTATATTAAATGATAAGTCGATTTATATAAAAGTTACTCATATGTTGGTAAGTCCCTTTTAAAATTCTCCAAAAGCATAATTTGATGAACTAAATTGGTTTTGGTACATTGTTTTAAATATTGTATTGCATAATCTATACATTGTTCTGCAAACTTTATATCAATGTTTTCTTTGCTGGAATCCTCTTTTTTTATTTCCAAATTATCATCTGGAACTATTTCTTCCATATCGTCACAAAAATCTGTTGGCTCCTCCTTAATAAGAACCAACTCTGTTGGTTGTGGATTATCTCCATCTGAATTATATGCTCCGAAATCATCTGCTGCTTCCGTTAAGAAAGGACTCTTGTACAGAGGCTGTTCGGTTTCTGTTTTGTTGTTTATGGAATTTTCAACATATACCTCAGTAGTAAATCTGAAATTCCCACTGGCAACCAGTAATTTCGCCGAAGTCCGTCTAAAACTGTGGCCAGTATAGTCTGTGGGGTGTGGAAGATTCAAATAGGAAGCCACTTCTCTTGGGGTCGAGGAGACTTTATGCACACCTATTACAGTGCGATGGCACCTGCCGTTCTGATATTTTATGAAAAATCGAGAAGTGTTCATGTTGTCAGGACGTAGAACTGCATATTTTCTGTACAACCCAATGTAAAAATCACCAAAAATACTAAACACACGGGGTCTCTTTGTTTTGGTGTCAGGAATATTAACAACTATTCGTGTGTCACAATCTTTTATTTCATTTACATTAATATTGATTATTTCCTCACAACGACAAGCCCCTCTGACCCCAAACAGCAAAATGACCTTCAAAGCCAGGAACTTTTTATCCGGGGCTTCTCGTAAAAACGTGTCGAATTGTTCTTTAGTAAAAGTGTTTGCTTTCTTCGGTATGTAACCCACATTCTTTGTCCTTAAAAATGCCTGCAGTTTGGCATAACTTTCAATTTTCACACCGCGTTTCGTGTTTAGTTCTGCTTTGATCATGGAATATTGAGCCCATAAGGAGGAACTTTTCATGCTTTTTGCCAATGTTGTGAAATATGCCAACATAACTTGCTCGGATACTTTTGTTGCATTATGTTCGTCGCACCATTTTAAAAACCGTTGGTACGCAAATTCGTACAGTCTTTTTGATTTGGCTGAAATTAATGAATCTACTGTGCTTGGGGCATTCTCTGGTGCTAATTCTTGGCCTTCCGACATCTTGTAACTTTGTTGACGTTTTACATTACAGGTTATGTGCATGAATTTATTTTACAGTGACCTGCAATTTTACCCGCACTAATTTCGAGCTAAATGCAATAGATAGAACCACTCTTTTTATGCAAGTTTTGATTATTTTTTGTATTGTATTCTGTAATATGAAGCGTTGATTAACTATTTTCTTTCGTAACTACATAGAAAACAGTAACCACCTATACATATATATAGTATAGTATATATATAGTATAGTATATATATATATATAGTATAGTATATATATAATAGATTTGTATACAAATCTATTTCCTATATAACACCACTACACTTCATGAAATTAGCTACTTTCTATAGAATATGGTTTTCATCGAAAGTGATATACCAATCGGAGCCCAGCATTCTCCACCGCACACTAGATTGCGACAGATAATGCAGTGTTTTGATTGGTTTATTGCTCTCTATAGAAAGTAGTCGCAAATTTAAAAAACTTGACTCTGTCATAACTCTTCCAATGGCGTCATGCTTGATCCACTTTCGAAGAATATATTTTTCTTCAAAATGTTTTTACACAAGTCCTCTGCACCCGGTCTTACATTGCGGTACATCCAGAGATATAGATATGTAAAACACAGGGTTGCATTGGCGGATCCAAGGGGGGGGCGATAGGGGCGATCGCCCCCCCCCGGAAGTAAGTTATCAAGTTGAAATTGAACATAACTTTTTAAATTAATATAGAAAATAATAAAAAAATGGAATAACTTTAATTTCAACCTTCTTATTATTTACAAAAATTTTCAACTCGGCCCCCCCAATGACACATTCTAGATCCGCCCCTGCAGGGTTGGGCATAGAAATATTACTACCCTGCTTAAAATACCCCATAGAGACCTATACAAAATATTCTATAGGGCGCTACCGGTTTCAATATGTGCATTTGTCCAAGGTTTTTTCCGGATACAGCCCGATAGAAAATGTATAGGAAATTACCTATAGGCACACCATAACTTTTACATTTTCCCTATTGAGACGGATAGAAAATAACTCAATGAAGGATATATAGGGATATCCCTATAGAACAACCATAAAACATTTGACAAAATTTTATTAAAACCTATGGGGTCCTATAGGGAAAAAACTAATTTCTACATTTATGTGTATTTTCCCCATTGATACCGATAGCAAATAAATCAATGGTGGATATCCCTATAGAACAACCATAAATCTCAACTATGGGCCCTATACAAACCGATACACCCTATAGAAACACCATACATCCCGATACAAATATCTATCGGTTTGAACAGGCCCGGGTCTCTATGGGGTATTTTAAGCAGGGTAGTATTATTTCTATGGGATTACGTTATGCCTCTAAATTATCCAAAAATGTTAACAAAACAAAGGCATATATTTAAACAAATGTAGGTTATGTTTTTTGAACTGTCAAACTGTTTCCTGTTGAAAGTTCTAAGACCTAAGATTTTGAAAAATTCCCAGATCCTGTGAATTTTTGTAAATTTGGCAATATCGCAAGACAGCAGTATATTTCCTGATTCTGCGATTTTTTAAAATTTGGCAACGTCGCAATAGTTCCAGATTATAGTATTTTTTGTAAATTTCTAAACTTCGCAAAAACGAACACCGCCAAATAATGCAAGATGACTTAATGGAGGTATCCTAAAGATCTTATCAAATTCGCAGATTCTGGAAATTTTTGTAAAAAACACTCCAAAATTTAGCAAACATAGTGCAAGTTGATTTGCTGAAAATATCGAGAAACTTTTTCTAAATTCCATTATCTAGTAAACTTTTAGAAGTTTGGCAACACCGCAAAATAGTTCAAGACGGCTTCCAGAAGATTTTGAAAAATTCCCAGATTCTGGGAATTTTTGTTCATTTGGCAATACCGCAGAACATTTCCAGATTCTGAGATTTTTGGAAGTTTGGCAACGGCGCAAAAGTTCCAGATTATGGTATTTTTTGTAAATTTGGCAACTTCTCAAAAATGAACATTTGGAATATTAAAGTCATCAACAGTTTAATAAATATTACGTAGACAAGTATTAAAAAAAAATCCCAAGTAAAGGCAATTTTCGGAAATTTGGCAACACCGCCAAATAATGCAAGATGACTTAATGGAGGATCTTATCAAATTCGCAGATTCTGGAAATTTTAGTAAATTTGACAACACTCCAAAATTTAGCAACATAGTGCAAGATGATTTGCTAAAGATATCGAGAAACTTTTTGTAAATTACCAGATCTAGGAAATTTTTAGAAGTTTGGGAACACCGCGAAATAGTTCAAGACGACTTCCTGAAGATTTTGAAAATTTCCCAGATTCTGGGAAATTTTGTACATTTGGCAATACCGCAAAACTGCAGAACATTTCCAGATCCTGATATTTTTGGAAATTTTGCAACGACGCAAAATGATAATTTGGAATATTAAATCATCAACAGTTTAATAAATATTACGTAAACAAATATTTAAAATTTTTTTTTAACTTTTCTTTACTTTTTTATACTATATCTGATGGAAAATACCTAAAAAACCCATAATGCAACCATTTTACATTTACTTGTAATAATGGTTAAATACACTAAAACTGGTGTTTTTTTTATAAAACCATGGACATTATTTTTATATTTTTAACATTCTCAAATAGGTGTTAGTTAGCAACACAGCTAAATAGTTCGAGATGATTTGCTAAAGATATGGAGACATATTTTGAAAATTCCCATATTAAGGGAACTTTTGGAAATTTGGCAATATCACAAGACAGCAGAAGATTTCCAGATTCTGCGATTTTTGAAAATTTGGCAACGTCGCAAAAATGAACATTTGGAATATTAAATTCATCAACAGTTTAATAAATATTACGTAGACAAGTATAAAAAAAATCCTAGGTATTGTCAATTTTCGGAAATTTGACACACCGACAAATAATGCAAGATGACTTAATGGAGGTACCTATCCTAAAGATCTTATCAAATTCACAGATTCTGGTAATTTTTGGAAATTTGACAACACTCCAAAATTTAGCAACAAAGTGATGATTTGCTGAAGATATTGAGAAACTTTTTGTAAATTACCAGATCTAGGAAACTTTTAGATGTTTGGCAACACCGCGAAATAGTTCAAGACGACTTCCTGAAGATTTTGAAAAATTCCCAGATTCTGGGAATTTTTGTACATTTGGCAATACCGCAGAACTGCAGAACATTTCCAGATTCTGATATTTTTAAAAATTTTACAAGAGCGCAAAAGTTCCAGATTATGGTATTTTTTGGGAATTTGGCAAATTCGCAAAAATGAACATTGGGAATATAAATATTACGTAGACAAATATTAATTTTTTTTTTAACTTTTCTTTACTTTTTTATACTATATTTGTTATCTGTTAGTTGGGAAATAACTAAAAAACGCATAAGGCAACCAATATTAATCCACGTGTAAAAGTGTTGTCTAAATTCAAAACTACGGTGTTTTTCTATAAAACCATGAACATTAAAAAATCTTAAATGCGATTTTGACATTCTCAAATAGGTGTTAGTTTTGAAAGTTTTACTTTTAAGTGCACACAAATAAAACAAAAATCGTATATCCCATCTAAAATCATCCTTTATTAGTTAGTAATAATGTCAATAAACCTACAGTTAGATGAAGTAAAAACGAAGTATAATATCTTAACATAAATCTTGCAAAATCATCGACTAAATGGACGGAAAGTCCAGATAATCGATAATTTTCCACATAAAATCTTAAACATTCTTCCTAAGACTACAATTTATCGAACAATGCGAACAACATGAAGAAAGAAACAAACACATTTGCGTGTACATAGGTAGATAAAATAAAAAATAAAAAAGTAGATCTGTCGGTGTTAGTCGATGAGCCCTTTGGCCTTGAAAAGATCGCGCATGAGCCCCTTTAAGTACTTGATTTCGCGCTGCAGATCCGTGATTTTGGCGCCCAGCTCCGCGTTGTGGTCCAGCATGACCTTCTCCTCGGACAAGATCACCTCCACCTCAGCCTTCTTCTTCATGCGGTAGCGCGTGGCCGCGTTCTTGTTCTGCTCCTTCTTGCGAGACTTCTTGTCGTCCGGATTATGGGAATTTTCGGAAATTTCACAACACTTCAAAATTTAGCAACACAGCTAAATAGTTCGAGATGATTTGCTAAAGATGTGGAGACATATTTTGAAAATTCCCATATTAAGGGAACTTTTGGAAATTTGGCAATATCACAAGACAGCAGAAGATTTCCAGATTCTGCGATTTTTGATAATTTGGCAACGTCGCAAAAATGAACATTTGGAATATGAAATTTATCAACAGTTTAATAAATATTACGTAGACAAGTATAAAAAAATCCCAGGTACTGTCAATTTTCGGAAATTTGACAACACCGACAAATAATGCAAGATGACTTAATGGAGGTACCTATCCTAAAGATCTTATCAAATTCACAGATTCTGGTAATTTTTGGAAATTTGACAACACTACAAAAATTTGCAACAAAGTGGTGATTTGCTGAAGATATTGAGAAATTTTTTGTAAATTACCAGATCTAGGAAACTTTTAGATGTTTGGCAACACCGCGAAATAGTTCAAGACGACTTTCTGAAGATTTTAAAAAATTCCCAGATTCTGGGAATTTTTGTACATTTGGCAATACCGCAAAACTGCAGAACATTTCCAGATTCTGAGATTTTTGGAAATTTGGCAACGACGCAAAATGATAATTTGGAATATTAAAGTCATCAACAGTTTAATAAATAAACTTTTTTTATACTATATCTCATGGAAAATACCTAAAAAACCCATAATGCAACCATTTTACATTCACTGGTTGATACATTCAAAACTCTGGTGTTTTTTTATAAAACCATGGACATTAAAAATTCTTTAATGCGATTTTAACATTCTCAAATAGGTGTTAGTTTTGAAAGTTTAACTTTTAAGTGCACACAAATAAAACAAAATTCGTATATCCCATCTAAAATCATCCTTTATTAGTTAGTAATAATGTCAATAAACCTACAGTTAGATGAAGTAAAAACGAAGTATAATATCTTAACATAAATCTTTCAAAATCATCGACTAAATGGACGGAAAGTCCAGATAATCGATAATTTTCCACATAAAATCTTAAACATTCTTCCTAAGACTACAATTTATCGAACAATGCGAACAACGTGAAGAAAGAAACAAAAACATTTGCATGTACATGTAAATAATAAAAAATAAAAAAGTAGATCTGTCGGTGTTAGTCGATGAGCCCTTTGGCCTTGAAAAGATCGCGCATGAGCCCCTTTAAGTACTTGATTTCGCGCTGCAGATCCGTGATTTTGGCGCCCAGCTCCGCGTTGTGGTCCAGCATGACCTTCTCCTCGGACAATATCACCTCCACTTCAGCCTTCTTCTTCATGCGGTAGCGCGTGGCCGCGTTCTTGTTCTGCTCCTTCTTGCGAGACTTCTTGTCGTCCAGATTATGGGAATTTTCGGAAATTTGACAACACAGCTACATAGTTTGAGATGATTTGCTAGATATGGAGACATATTTTAAAAATTCCCATATTAAGGGAACTTTTGGAAATTTGGCAATATCACAAGACAGCAGAAGATTTCCAGATTCTGCGATTTTTGAAAATTTAGCAACGTCGCAAAAATGAACATTTGGAATATTAAATTTATCAACGGTTTAATAAATATTACGTAGACAAGTATAAAAAAATCCCAGGTACTGTCAATTTTCGGAAATTTGACAACACCGACAAATAATGCAAGATGACTTAATGGAGGTACCTATCCTAAAGATCTAATCAAATTCACAGATTCTGGTAATTTTTGGAAATTTGACAACACTCCAAAATTTAGCAACAAAGTGATGATTTGCTGAAGATATTGAGAAACTTTTTGTAAATTACCAGATCTAGGAAACTTTTAGAGGTTTGGCAACACTGCGAAATAGTTCAAGACGATTTTGAAAAATTCCCAGATTCTGGGAAATTTTGTACATTTGGCAATACCGCAAACATGCAGAACATTTCCAGATTCTGAGATTTTTGGAAATTTGTCAACGACGCAAAAATGAACATTTGGAATATTAAATTCATCAACAGTTTAATAATATTATGTAGACAATTAATACAAAAAATTAATTTTAACTTTTATTTACTTTTTTTATACTATATCTGATGGAAAATACCTAAAAAACCCAAAATGCAACCATTTTACATTCACTTGTAATAATGGTTGTCTATATTCCAAACTACGGTGTTTTTCTATAAAACCATGAACATTAAAAAATCATAAATGCGATTTTGACATTCTCAAATAGTTTTGAAAGTTTTACTTTTAAGTTCACACAAATAAAACAAAATTCGTATATCCCATCTAAAATCATCCTTTATTAGTTAGTAATAATGTCAATAAACCTACAGTTAGATGAAGTAAAAACAAAGTATAATATCTTAACATAAATCTTTCAAAATCATCGACTAAATGGACGGAAAGTCCAGATAATTGATAATTTTCCACATAAAATCTTAAACATTCTTCCTAAGACTACAATTTATCGAACAATGCGAACAACGTGAAGAAAGAAACAAATTACATTTGCATGTACATGTAAATAATAAAAAATAAAAAAGTAGATCTGTCGGTGTTAGTCGATGAGCCCTTTGGCCTTGAAAAGATCGCGCATGAGCCCCTTTAAGTACTTGATTTCGCGCTGCAGATCCGTGATTTTGGCGCCCAACTCCGCGTTGTGGTCCAGCATGACCTTCTCCTCGGACAAGATCACCTCCACTTCCGCCTTCTTCTTCATGCGGTAGCGCGTGGCCGCGTTCTTGTTCTGCTCCTTCTTGCGAGACTTCTTGTCGTCCGGATTATGGGAATTTTCGGAAATTTGACAACACTTCAAAATTTAGCAACAGCTAAATAGTTCGAGATGATTTGCTAAAGATGTGGAGACATATTTTGAAAATTCCCATATTAAGGGAACTTTTGGAAATTTGGCAATATCACAAGACAGCAGAAGATTTCCAGATTCTGCGATTTTTGAAAATTTGGCAACGTCGCAAAAATGAACATTTGGAATATTAAATTTATCAACAGTTTAATAAATATTACGTAGACAAGTATAAAAAAATCCTAGGTACTGTAAATTTTTGGAAATTTGACAACACCGACAAATAATGCAAGATGACTTAATGGAGGTACCTATCCTAAAGATCTTATCAAATTCACAGATTTTGGTAATTTTTGGAAATTTGACAACACTACAAAAATTAGCAACAAAGTGATGATTTGCTGAAGATATTGAGAAACTTTTTGTAAATTACCAGATCTAGGAAACTTTTAGATGTTTGGCAACACCGCGAAATAGTTCAAGACTTCCTGAAGATTTTGAAAAATTCGCAGATTCTGGGAATTTTTGTACATTTGGCAATACCGCAAAACTGCAGAACATTTCCAGATTCTGAGATTTTTGGAAATTTGGCAACGACGCAAAATGATAATTTGGAATATTAAATCATCAAAAAATATTATATTAGGGCGATTCCGTACTCGCGGGTGCAACATTTAGACTCACTCAAGGCTTCTTACTAAGAAAATAAAAACTCCTTTTAAAGAAATGACTAGTCGCAGGATTACATTGTAATCTGTTTTACAAAAATTAATATAAAAAACATTTAATAAAATGTATAAATAGACACAGGAGAGGTTCAAAGTGCTATCGCGGGTGCAACGAAATCGGCCCACCATTAAAGTTCCTGAAGCTAGAATGAAAAAAGTCTGTTAATTATGGAATATTTACTAAATTATTTTTACATTATTTAAAAGAATATAAAATAAACTAATTATTAACTTAAATAAAATTATTAAAAGAAATTAATATTATAAATTATTCACTTTTTATCCAGTCGCGGGTGCAACGTAAAATTATCGCGGGTGCAACTCGTCTCACTGTAGTGAATATAAACATTTCCATGTAACTTTAAATTAAAGATATGAGACCATAGATGCTGTATCACTAATTAGCACTTTCCTATGTAACTTAAATAAATTATTTGTTTGGAATAGTCGGCGATTTATCAGCCTTAAGGTTCATCTTCAGAATCGCTGTAAACATAAGAAACGCGTAACTTTTGCGTTACTTTTTTTGTAACTTTTTTACGTTTTTTTTAGTAGCAGTTGTCAAAACTAATTTGACATAAATGTCAAAAAGTTCGACATAACCTTAAATCTTGTTTACCTTTAGTTTAGTTTGCTATTTTATGAAATTTAATGGATATAAAAGAATTATATAAATTATATATATATATATATAAATATTTATATATATATATATATAAATATTTACCTACCATTTAACAATACATTCGCCGTTTCCTCATCTACTTCTAAATTTATATCCCTTCCCTGATGATTAAGGCTTATATTTACCATTCGAATTTCAATCATTTTTAATTTTAAAATTAACTGAACCGTTGGTTCAACCCAAAAACCCGGTAAAATTAGCTAAACTCAAAAGCTCGATATCGAGAACTGTCAAACATAGTAAAAATAAACAAAAAACTTGCATTAAAAAGAGAAGAATATTTACCGCTACCAGTAACACTACTCAACATCTGTGTTACTCAATTCTTAACCGCGGTTACTGATTTGACATTTCATGCAGTTACCGGTTACTCCCTAAAATAAAATGGTTTTAACTTTTTATTACCGGTAACTCGCTAAAAATTCCCTAATGTAATCGTAAGAGTCATAAGTGTTGCACCCGCGATTCTAATATTTTAATCGCGGGTGCAACTCATTTTAGTCAACGTTAATTTTAATTAAAATGACAATATACCTTCTATTGCGACTGAATCAAGTTTTCCTTTTATTTCTTCTTACTTCTACAAAGTTTCAAAAAATTACCAATTTATTTCTTCAAGAAAACCAAACTTTCATTTCTTTTATATCGCGGGTGCAACTGACCAACAATGGTTTCTTATTTAATCAATATTGTTAGAAAAATAATAATAAATATTTATTTTTTTTATATAAGGCAATAAACAAATGTTATGACTTCATTATTCATCAGTGAAATATAACCTCAAACAACCGGAGAATACCGTTTTTGTCACAGGGCTCTCGTTTATTATCGTTTAACATCGTCCGTATCCGTCAGTTGCGTACCTAATTTCATGTTATTTGAAATGTACCTATTTTCATGATTCATATTAAAAATGTCAAATTTTGCTGTCAAAGAGCTCTGAAAGTGTTTATTTAATAAAATAGGTTTTTTTGGTACATATTTTATTAACATTCGTTAATTGTGTCCTGTGATTCGTTCTACGCATCTTGAAAATGGAAAAGTGAGTGGATACAAAATTGTGCGTTTAATCGTAAAAAATATTCTATATCTAAGATGTTTTTTAGCACAGAGACCCTAAACTCCAGGACTCTACACCGTCAAGAGTTCACTTGCAAGTATTGTAAACAATCATTTTCAAAAAAGTTTAATTTAAATCGGCATTTAAAAAATACTCATGGAGAAGAAGCAATTGGTATATTGAACAGCAAAAAATGTCACATCTTCTGCATTATTTGTTCAACTGAGAAGGTGCTTTTCTTCAATCGATTAAGAAAGCTAACAACAAACATATTTGTTTTCAGGTTATTGGAGGTTTCCTATCTTATAATGATTATATATCACACTTGAAAGAAACTCATAATGTCCAGGTAGAAGAGAAGTTATACCATTTTGTGAAAAAAGAAGATTTTGAGGTATGGAGAAGCTCTGAAGAGAAAGAAGTCAATTATGCACTTCAATGTACTAACGTAGAAAAGTCACGTACCAGAATATATTATAACTGTAACAGAAGTGATTCACGAGGTAAATATGTAAATAAAAATTTAACTAATTTAAATTCTATATGTCTATAAATACAATTCATAAAAATTAATAATTGAATTTTTAGGTTTTGTGAGCAATTGTTCAAAGAAAATTTCAAAAACTGGTGGAAGCATAAAAATTAATGGTACATGTCCATCAAGAATAATTGCAACATTTTTGCCTGAAGGTAGTGCTAAAGCAGTTCATTTCTTTTTAAATATTTTGTTTTATAACTAATCTTGTCTAGGTTCAATCACAGTAAGGTATATTCAGACACATGTAGGACATGAAATAGAAGTACGAACACAAAGGTTGTCAAAAAATGACCAGAAATATTTAGTAGATCAGTTAAAGGCAGGTGTATGTACAGAAAGGATAGTGAAAAATGCAAGAACAGTGAAAGAGAGTGACAAACTTACTAGATTAAATTTAGTGACGAGGAATGATTTATCAAATTTGGCAAGAAGAAATAATATTGAAAAAATGAGACATTCCAATGATATGGTTGCAACTGCATTAAAAGTACATGAGTGGAATTCTGAAGGAAAAAACTATGTGTTTTTATTCAAGCAACTAGGTAGGTAATCAGGTTTAATAGCTTTTTTATGGTGGTTAAGGTGGTGATGGTTGTGTGGTAAAAATAGTATTTGTAGGGGAAACCCATTCTTTTTTAAAAGTTAATGACTTTGCTTTGGCTTTTATGAATAAAACAATGGAACAGAAATTTAGGGAGTTTAATAGGATAGTTTGCATGGATGGGACGCATGGACTTACTAAATATAAGGGATGGGAACTAACAATTTTATTGGTGAAAGATGAAACCAAAGCTGGCTTTCCTGTTGCTTTCATGATTTCAAATAGACAAGATCAAATGATTCAAGAAATTTTCTTGGGGGCGTTAAAAGAAAAACTAGGTACAGATGCACCAATATCTACTGAATTTTTAATGACTGATGATGATGTAAAGTATTATAATGCCTGGGTAAAAACTATGAGTAACAGTCCAAGAAGGCTTCTTTGCACATGGCACCTTTTAAAAAATTGGAATATTCAAGGTAATATTGCACTTTAATTGCATTATAATATATAATCAAATATATTTTTTAGGAAAAAGGAAACTCAAAACACAGGAATTAAAAAATACAATGAGGAAAGATATGAGAAAAATTTTAACAGCCACAAATGTTCAAAGTTTTCAAAAAAATAAAGAAAATTATTTAAAAATTTTACAGGAACAAAACGAAACTGAATTCATTACATATTTGCAGAAGTAAAGTATAATTAATAAAAGAACATCAAGTTTAAATAAATTACAAGTGCCTTTTTCAAATACACAAATAATTAAACATTTCCATTAATATGTCAATTATTATTAATATTTATTTGATTTATATTTAAGTATGGCAGATCAATAAAAATTGTATTTATTATGTTTTAGGTATTACTTTTGCAATGAGGCACGTATTATGTCTTGGGCTTTCTGTTACAGGTTGTTTATTGCAATATTTTATTTTAAAAAATAAAACATTTTAATTTTTAGATCTGAAGTAGGAATAAACACCAATATGGCATTAGAAAGTTTAAATCGTTATATAAAAAAAGAAAAACTTCACAACAATGGATACATTCGCCTTGAAAAGCTGCTAGATGTCTTAGAAGAGGTTGTTGATGACAAAATGTGGAAAAGGATAATTTCAATAAAACGCCCCCACAGAAACACCTACCAGGGGAGGACTGTTGCAAAAGCACATAGACAAGCAGAATTAATTAAAAATTGCGTGAAAGTAAAGGGGTTTGGATCATTTATAATCAAATCAAATGAGAAAACTTACTGTGTAACATACAAAGAGACATGTTTATCTAAAAATTGTCGAGAAATGTTTTGTGAAGCATGCAAAGTGTGCTTCCACAAATACAGATGTGAATGTATAGAATATGTTGTTAAAAGTACTACATGCAAACATGTACATGTAGTGGCTATGTATGAACAAAAACAACTTTTGAATAATATATCATTTAATGAAGAAATTAATTTAAATCCAATAAATGAAGGGGAAATTAATGAATTTTTGTTGGAGAAAAATTTAAAAACTGGAAATGAAGTCGATTTGACCCTCAGAAGAAAATTTGTTTCTGATCATGTCAAAAATTATGTGAATGATATGTTAACCTTGAATGATGATGCTTTTGAAGGTTTGTTTATAAAATTTATATTTAATATGTTGTACTAATATTCTAATTTAATTTAATTAACCATTAAATTATTTTAGTATTTGCAAAAAATTTTGAAATCTTTGTAAATAAAAATGATAAGGATTTAGGAATACTTGGAAATAAGAGAAAATTTGCCAAACAAACATATTACCCACAAGCCTAAAAGAAAAAAGACCACCCCATTCTGAGATAAGTGACCTAAGTATCCAAAATTCTATTTCTTGATTATGATCGTTATAGATTAATAAAAGACTGCTCATTAAATTTTGAAGTCAAAAATAATTTTCCTTGCATATTTTGTTTTTAACATTGTTTATTCTTTCCTTCCTCCTTTAAAATTTATTTTCTCGAAGCGCGTCAAATACCCACAGAATTTTTAAGTAAATATCCCACACCTAAGAATTTGTTGAACCTGTATTCTTTGTATTAAAATAAAAAATAAAACTTCCATAAATTATATAAGTATTTTTATTTTTTCCTTAAACCTAACAGTTTTTTTATACTGGTAGATTAATAATTTCTGTAGTTCCTTGGATATAATATAATAATAATTGTATTATCTCCTCCCTACTATAGTTTTCTTGCCATTGTTTTGCCTCATCATGTCAACGGATACAATCAAAAGTAAACAAGAGCCTAAAAATCCTATTATTTATTATGAATTTTAGACATAATCTAAATGAGTTTTTTGTTATTTAAATATTTTTATTTATATTTATTTATTTACCCTGTGAATCACTTCTGTTGCAGTTATAATTATAGCGCGGAAGTTTTCCAGTGATTACATCAAAATAATTATATTGTGATATTATAGTTTATTTTTTAACTCTGATTTTTGGAAACATTTTGACGTCATCGCTGGAAAAGTTCCGCGGAATAGTTATAATATATTATTATAGTTATAATATATATGAGTTTTCTACTTTAGAACATTGAAGTGCATAATTGACTTCTTTCTCTTCAGAGCTTCTGCATACATCAAAATCTTCTTTTTTCAGAAAACGGTATAACTTCTCTTCTACCTGGTCATTATGAGTTTCTTGCAAGTGTGATATATAATCGTTATAAGATAGGAAAGCTCCAATGACCTTTCTTGTTAGCTTTTCAATTGATTGAAGAAAATCACATTTTCAGTCGAACAAATAATGCAGAAGATGTGACATTTTTTGCCAGTCAATGTTTTTTTTTAAATGCCAATTTAAATTAAACTATTTTGAAAATGATTGCTTGCAATACTTGCAAGTGAGCTGTTGACGGTGTACAGTCTCAGTCCTGGGGTTTAGGGTCTCTGTGCTAAAAAAACAGCTTAGATATAGAATATTTTTTACGAATAAAAAGCACAATTTTGCTAGTACCTACTTACTTTTCCATTTTCAAGATGCGTAGAACGAATCACAGGACACAATTAACGAATGTTAATAAAATATGTACCAAAAAAACCTATTTTATTAAATAAACACTTTCAGAGCTCTTTGACAGCAAAATTTGACATTTATGAATCATGAAAATAGGTACATTTCAAATAACATGAAATTAGATACGCAACTGACGGATACGGCCGATAATAAACGAGAGCCCTGTGACAAAAACGGTATTCTAACAACCGGTAATAGCGATTTCGTGGAAAAATTATGAAGTGTCGATGAATGGTTTGCATCAAGTCTTCAGGCGCCACCATTTCTGAGCGCGCCAAATATTCAAATAATAACTTAAGTTCTTCAAAGTTTTTTTATTATTAAATTTATATCTTTCTCTTTGTATTGGTATAAAAAAAATTAACAAATACTGTGGTTTAAAAATTTATGTCAAAAATCGTCTCCCGCGGAATCGCCCATTACGTAAAAAATATTTAAATTTTTTTTTTTAACTTTTCTTTACTTTTTTTATACCATATCTGATGGAAAATACCTAAAAACCCATAATGCAACCATTTTACATTCACTTGTAATATTGGTTGAATATATTCAAAACTGGTGTTTTTCTATAAAACCATGGACATTAAAAATTGTTAAATGCGATTTTAACATTCTCAAATAGGTGTTAGTTTTGAAAGTTTTACTTTTAAGTGCACACAAATAAAACAAAATTCGTATATCCCATCTAAAATCATCCTTTATTAGTTAGTAATAATGTCAATAAATCTACAGTTAGATGAAGTAAAAACGAAGTATAATATCTTAACATAAATCTTTCAAAATCATCGACTAAATGGACGGAAAGTCCAGATAATCGATAATCTTCCACATAAAATCTTAAACATTCTTCCTAAGACTACAATTTATCGAACAATGCGAACAACATGAAGAAAGAAACAAATTACATTTGCATGACATGTAAATAATAAAAAATAAAAAAGTAGATCTGTCGGTGTTAGTCGATGAGCCCTTTGGCCTTGAAAAGATCGCGCATGAGCCCCTTTAAGTACTTGATTTCGCGCTGCAGATCCGTGATTTTGGCGCCCAGCTCCGCGTTGTGGTCCAGCATGACCTTCTCCTCGGACAAGATCACCTCCACTTCCGCCTTCTTCTTCATGCGGTAGCGCGTGGCCGCGTTCTTGTTCTGCTCCTTCTTGCGAGACTTCTTGTCGTCCAGATTATGTGAATTTTCGGAAATTTGACAACACTTCAAAATTTAGCAACACAGCTAAATAGTTCGAGATGATTTGCTAAAGATATATATGTATATATTTTAAAAATTCCCATATTAAGGGAACTTTTGAAAATTTGGCAATATCACAAGACAGCAGAAGATTTCCAGATTCCGCGATTTTTGAAAATTTGGCAACGTCGCAAAAATGAACATTTGGAATATTAAATTTATCAACAGTTTAATAAGTATTACGTAGACAAGTATAAAAAATCCCAGGTACTGTCAATTTTCGGAAATTTGACAACACCGACAAATAATGCAAGATGACTTAATGGATCCTAAAGATCTTATCAAATTCACAGATTCTGGTAATTTTTGGAAATTTGACAACAAAGTGATGATTTGCTGAAGATATTGAGAAACTTTTTGTAAATTACCAGATCTAGAAAACTTTTAGATGTTTGGCAACACCGCGAAATAGTTCAAGACGACTTCCTGAAGATTTTGAAAAATTCAAAGATTCTGGGAATTTTTGTACATTTGGCAATACCGCAGAACATTTCCAGATTTTGAGATTTTTGGAAATTTGGCAACGACGCAAAATAATTTGGAATATTAAATTCATCAACAGTTTAATAAATATTATGTAGACAAGTCATGCAAAAAATTAATTTTAACGTTTCTTTACTTTTTTTATACTATATCTGATGGAAAACATCTAAACAACCCATAATGCAACCATTTTACATTCACTTGTAATAATGGTTGAATACATTCAAAATTCTGGTGTTTTTCTAAAAAACCATGGACATTAAAAATTCTTAAATGCGATTTTAACATTCTCAAATAGGAAGTTTTACATTTAAGTGCACACAAATAAAACAAAATTCGTATATCCCATCTAAAATCATCCTTTATTAGTTAGTAATAATGTCAATAAACCTACAGTTAGATGAAGTAAAAACGAAGTATAATATCTTAACATAAATCTTGCAAAATCATCGACTAAATGGACGGAAAGTCCAGATAATCGATAATCTTCCACATAAAATCTTAAACATTCTTCCTAAGACTACAATTTATCGAACAATGCGAACAACGTGAAGAAAGAAACAAACACATTTGCGTGTAGATAAAATAAAATAAAAAATAAAAAAGTAGATCTGTCGGTGTTAGTCGATGAGCCCTTTGGCCTTGAAAAGATCGCGCATGAGCCCCTTTAAGTACTTGATTTCGCGCTGCAGATCCGTGATTTTGGCGCCCAGCTCCGCGTTGTGGTCCAGCATGACCTTCTCCTCGGACAAGATCACCTCCACCTCAGCCTTCTTCTTCATGCGGTAGCGCGTGGCCGCGTTCTTGTTCTGCTCCTTCTTGCGAGACTTCTTGTCGTCCGGATGGCCGCGCGAGTACGGCTTCGACCTCTTCCTGCCAGACTTCGCGATCGAGCCGCCCTCGACGTAGCTCTCGACCGGCTCCGGGACCCACTCCGGGTCCTCGGAAGCGGAAGACGAGCAATCGCTGCTTCCGGGCGAGGAGGGGTACTGCCACTGCATGTCTTCGGCGCGCGTGCGCACCAGCTCGTCGACGATGGCCAGCTCGTGCTCCACGTCCGGCTGCGGCGTGGCCGGAAGTTCCGGCCGGAAGGCGGGCACGCTGTAGACCTGCTTGAGGAGCGGCTCGAGGGTGGTCAGCTCCGTCGGGGGGCTCTGGGGGGGCGTGAGGGCTCCGATGCCGTCGTAGACGGTCTCGAACTCCCGCAACAGGGACTGCGTGGATTGCTTCTGGTCGCTGGGGTGCTCCATTTTCACGTGGTGCCCGGGTACCAGCGGCACCGGGACGGCGCGAGGCGCTTCCACCTCCTCCAGCATTGGCAGGATTTTCTCATCGAGAAGGAAAGGCTCTGCGGACAAAAGATAAAAGTTCAATATGGATCATGAGACATCATAAGAGGCAGACGCGCAAGCTTCTAAAGAGTAAGGAAGTAATAAAAGCCTATCAGTAACAATAAATCGATCATAGTATAGTTAAGTTTGTTAGGCAATTTTAAGTGTATACAGTGGGAAATTAGAGCCCATGGCCACTACCTGTGCAGGTAAATCAAAGTACCCGTCTCCAGTGGCGGCTGGTGGATTTTATGTATACCAATATCTCAGTTATTAGACATGGAACCCACACCAAATTTATAATAGTTTATAATGACATTAACTAAACAAGTTCGGCGCAAACAGAAATTAAATTGAAGTTTGCGAAAAAAAGTTAATTTTTCCTGTCGCCTCACCCGCCTCCAGTCCCCCCTATTTGAGATAATTCAAATTAAAGTGGTGCAATTTATTATCTACTATAATTTATCGACAAATTTAAGATTTTATTTAAAAAATCCAAATATTACAGGTTTTATACCATTTTAAATATTTTTTTATTTTAATAAAATAAATAATAAAAATTTAAAATCGAATAAAATCTGTAATATTTGGATTTTTTAAATAAAATCTTAAATTTGTCGATAAATTATAGTAGATAATAAATTGCACCACTTTAATTTAAATTATCTCAAATAGGGGAGCCTGAAGGCGGGTGTGGCGACAGGAAAAACTAACTTTTTTTCGCAAACTTCAATTTAAATTCTGTTTGCGCCGAACTTGTCTATTTAATGTCATTATAAACTATTATAAATTTGGTGTGGGTCCCATCAAAGATAATAATGTATTATCTTTGGGTCCCATGTCTAAAAGCTGAAATATTGGTATACCCAAAATCCACCAGCCGCCACTGCCTGTCTTCCGATGTCTTAAAGAATCAGCAAAGCGCTAATACAGTAGTACAGTGCAATACAACAAGTGAAGAATGTAAGAAATCAATTACACTACCTGTACAGGTGAACTCAATGTACCAGTCTCTCGAAGGAACAAAGAGAGGGTCAAGTGTAGGGTTTAAAGTGTCGGAAAAAAACGACAAAATTGGGGAAAAAACCTGTTTTCCGTTTTTTTTCAGGTCTTGGAAAAATTGGCTTTTTTGGGCAAAATTGATTTTTTTTTGGAAAATATACACATTTGAAAAAAAAATGGCAATCAACAAATTTAAGAAAATTAACGTAAACGTACTGTCTGTTGGGGTTTTTTGTTGCAAAAAGGAGTCCATTAAAAATATGTATCTAACTATAAAATAATGAATGATTTATAAAATTAAATTACAAAATTATAATTATAAAACGAAGTTTTAAATAAAAGTTATGTTAACATAGCACCGAATATGTTTTTTTGCGGCCCGGTAGAATATTCTTAGTGAATTAAAATAAAAGGAATAATCATATTATATGATTACATCAGCGTCGGAAATTCACTTTTTTCTCGATATCAGTGTACGGATACTACCTACCAGTGAAAATTTGGAAATTTTCAAAAAAATTGATTTTTGCATTTTTTCGAATTACCCTTTAAATAAAATTTAAAAAATTAAAAAGTCAATTTTTCTGAAATTTTCCCAATTTTTCCGTTGGCTCAATTTTTCCGGAAGTTTTAAAACCCTAGTCAAGTGGACAGTTGTCCCGCATTCCACTAGCCTAAATCGGGCCCGGCAGTGGTTTATCCACAAATTTCATTTCAAAAATCGAAATTATACAGATTTTATACCATTTTCAATATTTCTTTTCAAAGAAACGAGTTGCATAGTATAGTTTTTACGAAAAATATTTAATATTATCTAAAAAATGATTTAAATTAAATATTTGTATAAAGCGACATCTATGCGAAAATAAAGTAACCATCCCAATAAAAAATGTTGACGTAATTTTCACCATTAATATTAAACCTAACAATTATTGATACTTTAAAATATTAAAAAACTTCAAAATATTAAGAACATATTTTATCCATGGATTACTATAATTGCAAAATATTATCACAAAGTTTTAAAAATTCTTACACGGGAAATGTTAAAGGTACAAAAAGTGACAGTATTTATTGAAATTCCCTTTAGAATTTCCAACTTGGGAATCTACCGGCGTTAAAATTTTAAATTTTTCTGTATAAATCAAAATTCATCCCTTGAAAATAGACTAACAATCGATATAGAAGCTGTTTTTCACAGTAAAAGAAATGTTTTATGGGCACTGTACGCACATTTTTAACGCTCAGTTACTACGGCGAAATCAATAATTGAGATAATAAAATAATTTTCGCATTTAGTATTATTTTACAAGAAAGGAACTTTATTTTAACGATTGTATGACATTTGACTACTGTCAACTAACTTAAAGCTAACTTCAGCCTGTGACTAAAGCGCCTTAAAGCAACAACTTGTCAAAGCGTATTTAAAAAATCACTTGGTGTCATGGAAACATGTAGGATAATGGGCTTTTTAAAGGTGGGAGTATAAAAAATCATTTAAATTAAAAAGAAAACGTAAATAAACAAACATTTTTAAGAAAATTTAAATTAGCAAAGTATTCACAAACTTTTACTTTTAATTGTGGCAAATAAGAAACCTCTTTAACCTCCTTAAATGCTTAATATTAGATAAGAAACGGATTTTTGCAAATTAATCAAAAATAACTATTAAGGCATTAACTTGTGGTGCCCCCCAGGGTTCGATCTTTGACCCCACAATCTTTCTAGTCCATGATTATGTTATATTAATTGGTTTTAAAATATTTAACAGGCGTCTAAATGAAATAAGTCGCTTTAAAATTTAAATATTTCATAATTTATTTTTATAAAAATTATAAAACTATTACCAATTATTAAAATTCTAATTTTTGTCTTGACACACATCTGGCAAATATGTTTTGTTTCCATAACAACTGTTTTTAGATGCCTCATCCATGGAGTCTACAAAAGGAGGTGTTACGTGTTCTTTTATTACCACTAGAGGCGCTAATTTCCATTTTGTACTGTCGTCTGTTGTTTCGGTATAAAGCAAATACCAGCGCCCTCTTATTTTATATTTATCATTTGTATACATCAAGTTCGGACAACACAGCGTTGCCATATTTTTTGAACTTTTTATGATACAGTGTTGAATTCCGTTGGTGCGTCATTTTTTTGGACACCCTGTATAAACCAGAAATTAAATGTATGTTTTTTATAGCTTTTGTGTACGCATGGGTACGAATTTTTCAACATAAAATGTCATTGACTTGCCCATTTGTAACTTTAACTTTCAACTAATTTGTTTTTTATTTTTAATTGGTGAGGTCAAACTGTAGATAAACAATATTTTAATTTGTGTCAATAATGATTGAAAAACCAATGGACAATGTATCTTAAATTGGAACCATTTTAGAACAGTTTACAAAATATCATGTCGATTTTTTGAGGTTATAATAATGTAAAAAAAAATGTTTTTTAATACACTGACAGCAAGGACATATGTATTATATATTATATTATGTGTTGTTTGCGATAAGGGCTGGGCCTCAGAGCTTAATAAACATCGTCAAGGTCGCGATATATTTTTCAATTGATAGAAATGCACTTGGCAACGCCTTGAAGCCACTTTTAAACCGATATATCAAATGGTATTTAAAAAAGCGATTTCAAAGAGATATAGTAAATAAAATACTAATACTAATAATAACCTAACGGAGTTAAATCAGGCGACCTTGCGGGCCATGGAATGTCAAAAACCATACATGTATCAATTGTTATGCACCACCTCGTATACTTCTAAACTGCAGGTTTCTTAGAGGTTGCGAAACATTTACACTTTGATAAAAGACATAAAAATTTGTTCTAGAAGCAAGTTTTTGCTTTGGTATTATTATTGGTGAAAGTTTGGTGTGGTCGTCCTTGTCTTTAAGATATAAATAACACATGCTCAGGAAATAATAATAATAACATGGGTCGATAACAAATAAATAGACCATATAAACTATTAATTCTTGATATGTAAGTTCACTGCGTATTGGACACTTTGATACACAAGTTCGTGTAAGATAAGACATATGCAAAGTGTCAATTGGAAAAAATTGCTTTAATTTCTACAAATTTCCAAAAAGTTGTTAAAATTACGCGTTTATTAGAAAAGTATATATCTTTTTTACTAATGATCCAATAAATTTGTTTTGGACAATTTTCTATATAAACTTTCTCAAAATATTTCATTTCAAGGTCAAACTTTTTCAGTTTATTATTGTTTTTTGTTATTCTACTAATAGCATGCATATATGTATATGTATATATATGTATATTAGGGTGGGCCGAAAATCCGCTTTTTTAGAATTTCGTTTAGTAATAGCAAAAATTTTGTTCATTATGTTGTAAAAAAAATTTGTGTAAAAGATTAAAATTTTCGATCAATATCCTAGGCTCGCCCAACGCAATTAAAGATCAAAATGTTCAAAAAAATTTTGATACTAAAATCGGTTTTATTTCTAAAACTATCCATCTGAAGTAATTTAGTGTAAGAACCTTTTTTGTAGAGCATAAAATTTCCGATCGAATTAAGTTAGGAAAATTTTTTTTTGAACATTTTGATCTTTAATTGCGCTGGGCGAGCCTAGGATGAGGATCGAAAATTTTAATCTTTTACACAAATTTTTTTTACAACATAATGAACAAATTTCTGAAACTATTCATCTGAAATAATTTTGTGTAGAGCATAAAATTTCCGATCGAAATAAATTAAGAAAAATTTTTTTTGAACATTTTGATCTTTAATTGCGTTGGGCGAGCCTAGGATGTTGATCGAAAATTTTAATCTTTTACACAAAATTTTTTTACAACATAATGAACAAAATTTTTGCTATTACTAAACGAAATTCTAAAAAAGCGGATTTTCGGCCCACCCTAATGTATATGTATATATATATATATGTATATATATATATATATATATATATATATATACAGGGTGTTATATATTAAAATGGGTTGAGCCTTAGGGTCCATAAAGAAGCACCTGAAACTTTTTTTTTCTAAATTCCAAAGTCT